AGGGGAAGGGCCCGGGGCTGTGCCGAAGGCCGGAGGGGTGCGGGTGAGGAGACCCGGGCGGCTGCAAACCCTCCCCGCCTTTGCGCTCAGCCCCACCGGCAGCAGCCCTGTGCTTCTGCAGGTGACCTGCAAGGTCCTGTCCCCGTCCCCGTCCCAGTACATGGTTCTGTTCCAGCAATCTAGCTCTCACATTTAAAAGATGAGATTATTATTTTTCTTACCTTTGCAAAAAAAAAAAAAAAAAGAAAAAAAAGAAAAAAAAAAGGATGAAGTCTTACCCAGTGTAAATCTTTACAAGGTAACATTTCTGGTTCAAAAGTCATAACAAGTAAACATATGGTACTGTTTGCTTCCTGACAGGATCATGTTATGACTACTTAAATATCATACTTATGAACTATTGAAGTACCAACCAAATTGTTCATAAATTTTAATAATGTAGACCAGCTGTACTGGGTCACACCAGAAGTTCTGTCTGTGCCAGTAAGGGCATGGGCAAGATTATAATAAAGCCATACTTCCACTCATCACACCCTTGTTTCATGGGTTTATGGCTTCATTTCTGTAGGCAGAGGTATTACCACTATTTTTAGTATCCCTCAGTTTTTCATCTGTCGATTTGCCTTGCTAGTTTTTGAAATCGTGCACTTCTGGCAGCTATCCTGTCCAGTCCACAGGCAGTATGCTCCATAATTCAACTACGTATTATGCAATGAAATATTTCCATACTCCTTTTGTTTTCAGTCTGTCCCTTGGTAAGCTCATGTGATGCCAGCTTGATCTTATATTATGAAAGACCATGAATAATCATTCCCTGGTCACTTTCTCCATGCCTCTCATGATTTTAATGACTTCTATCATATCCTCTTCAGTCCAGGCTAAAAAGAATCCTAGCTTATTCCTAGTACAAAACATGTTCCATGTCTTCAATCATCCATGTTACAGCTTTTCCAATTCTATTCTATTTCTCTTTGAATGGAGAGACAGAACACAGTATTATCCAACTTTTTAATGAAATTTTCCATTTTGTTCTCTATGCCTTTCTCATTAATTCTTAACCTAATTTTACACGTACGGTATTTATCATCCCAGAACCTGTAAGTACCTCTACTGGTTTCTATCAAATAACAAAATCTACAACTGGTTCAAGTAGCCCTAATTTAATGAAAAGTTGTATGTGTGAAATCAGGTACATTTCGATAGAACTATTCATATGCTGAAATGATTTGGCATTTGCCAAAACTTCAGCTTTACTACCTACAATGTACACATTGAAGTTGTGTCCAAATATGCACAAGCATTATCAATAATACAAAGTTTAGGTGTTTGTATTATTTGCTCTTTGTGTAGAGCAAAGTAGAATAAATTTAATTAAAGGGAACATTGTATATGAATTTCTGGAGAGATCAGGTCATTCTCCAGATGGTATTTTTAATAAGTTCCTAAATGTTTACAGGCAGAAATGTGATTTTCAGCTTGATAGTGACACAAAACCAAAAAAGCAAGTAGCACATGTTTTTGATGATTTCCTTGTAGTGCTTTTGTTAAATGGAAGTGCACTCAATTCTTCTGTCATTCCAAATCATAGTAAATTGCAATGCTAAATTAGTAATGCACACAGGCTTGACCTTAAATCATTCAATTAGGCAACTAATGAATCATTCTGTGTCCTCAATTCAGACAGCATCTTTTGTAGCACTGATAGCTAATTAACTTTCCCCTTTTGCAGTACCTAGCAACTTTGTAGATTTGCTTTATAACTGTAAATGTTTCAGTACATTAAATGATTAGGAGAACGCTCTGATCTTATTTTTTCTCTTGAGCCTAATGTTCAAAATATTACAACCATCTATAAATAAACTAGGCTACCAAATGTCAAACAAAGTTGTCAAATATTTACTTGGGCTTTAACACTTAAATAATGTAAAACTGTGCTCCACTGAAAAATGGCTGAAAAATTAGACTGAACATATTTAATGAACTTTTAATATAACACATTACCTACTTTTAAAAAATAAAATATATGGCAATGTTTATGACAATTGATTTTCAAGAGCTATTCTTTTTTGTAGGTTTTGCACTCTTAATTTTTTTAAATTTTGTTAATTTAAATGCTGTTTCCAACCTTTCTTCTCAATCATAGAATCATGAATTTATGTAAGTATTAATAGAAAGGCATAATACATTTGTATATTTCTGGACACATACACATATTAGAGTCCTTTCTAAATAAGCAGTATAGGAATAGCCCTAAGAGGAGAGGAACTAACCACAGATGATTAAAGAAATTATCTTTTTTGTCATATTTTCATACAGTCCTCTAATTTTTTCATGGTTTTCTTGATAGGATTTGGTACTATGTGTACAAACTTAGGGAGCAAAAAAAATCCAAACACCTGAAGTAAGAGGTAATGTCTGAAAATACTAGCTTTTATCTTACACATTAAGAACCATTAGGATTTTTGTTCTTTTATTTCTTTTTTGGAAGAGGAGGGATGCAAAAGTTTGCTCTTCTGTACCTATTTCAAAGTTCTCAGCACGTGTTGGTTTCCTGCAGGGAGCACCTGGGGATTAGTTGCATAATCCTCTGTGTGAAAAAACAATTTTGTATACATACTTTGTAAATGGCTATCGGCTTGATTATGCTTCCAGAGAAGTTTTTAGAAGTTCGCCTTTGCTTTCTTTGGAGGCCTTACATGTTTTCAAACCACTGACAATCATATGCCCTCAGGATGACAAATGGGCAGAGGCGATACGGTGTTAGGGATATTGTACAAGGAGATAATTACTTTGTACTTTTCTATCTGCTTTCCAGTTGGTGAAGTTCTGTGTATCACAGATGGAACCATGAACAGTCCTGTTGATTGCTGTATTCATTTGCAACCCTTAAACAGGGATACTTTTTGTATTAACATAAGTGTATATGTACACTCAGTCACCGACACTGCCTTCCACCAGCACTGCCCTTACCTGTATGGTGCTGTGTGTACCTCTACACCTCATTCTTTCAGTAAAGGAGAAGGAACTGCATTACTGGGAGACAATTTTCAAAAGTTTTAACTGTTTTATAGCTATAATATACTTAAAATAAGTCAGTCGAAGGAAAAGGGATGGTTTTACTTGCAAGTTACTGTACTAAACATAGGCATGTGACTTATCTCAGCCTTCTCAGTGTTTCCTCTATTCATGTGACTTAGGGTTTAGGTTACTCAGAATAAAGAAAGAACTCAAAATTTCCAAATTGGCTTTGTTTCAGTGTATAATTAGGAAATGGTGAAGTAAGACAATGTGACTGTAATACATATGAGATGGTTCATATTGTCCTTAAATTAATTGCTAAAACAGCTGGCCTCCCCTCCTGTCCTGGAGGGCTGTCTCCTTTATCCAGAGGCATCAAGGTTGTTTTCAAACTAGAGTAGTCACGGAATCCATTTATAAAATATGTCACAATTTTTTTAGGTAAAATACACAAGGAGGTGGATAAGAAATGGCTTTGCAGTTTCATTGTTTTTTTTAAATAAGGGAAAATTACCCTCTTTTAACCATCTGAATAGACATGCACTCTAAGTTAGGTAGCCCTAAGCGTTTCAGAACTATAAACTAAGCATATTGTTCAGTGTAGAGGCTCCTTTGAAAGATTGTAACTGGGGAAATATATTCAATGTTAGACAAATATAATGTCAATGTTTGTACTCCTGTATTTGACAAAAAGCCTGTGAGAATGAGGGCAGAAAAAATTCCTAACTTTCTCCTTACATTTGTGGGGTGTTTTTAATCTTCCAAAAACATGATCCCTTGCAAGGCAAAAGTTTCAGAATTCTGAAACAGTAATCTGTTTTGAATTGGTATTATCACAGCATTTTGACAAAAGCAGATGAAATTGCTACAATTCTTCAGATGGAATAATGAATGGGCCTGTATTTGCCATAATGATCAAACAACAGAGAAATGCACTAAAAAGCCATGGATGTAGCTTGTCCCCTGTGATCTGCAAGATCCAGTATGATACAGAAAAGAACCTAAGGATTTATAGAGTATATTTTTCTATTTTGACTGGTGGGAAAAAGAAAAATGCAACACTGTAACAGGAGAGTGTCAGACTATACTCCTTAATAGGAGCACAGTCTGTACGTGCTGACTGATGAGCAGCGTGGGGTGTGCTGATTGACGAGAAGCTCAGCATGAGCCAGCAATGTGCGATCACAGCCCAGAAGGCCAACCATATCCTGGGCTGCATCAGAAGAATGGTGGCCCATAGGTCAAGGGGGGTGATTCTGCCCTTCTGCTCTGCTCTCGTGAGACCCCATCTGGAGTACTGCATCCAGCTCTGGAGTCCCCAACATGAGGACATAGACCTGTTGGAGCATGTCCAGAGGAAGGCCATGAGGATGATCTGAAGGGCTGAAGCACCTCTCCTATGAGGAAAGGCTGAGAGAGTTGGAGTGGTGCAGCCTGGAGAAGAGAAGGCTCTGGGGAGATCTTATTGCGGCCTTCCAGTACCTAAAGGGGGCCTACAGGAGAGCTGGGGAAGGACTTTTTGCGAGGGCATGTAGTGACAGGACGAGGGGGAATGGCTTTAAACTGGAAGAAGGCAGGTTTAGATTAAACATTAGGAAGAAATTTTTCACTTTAAGGGTGGTGAGACACTGGAACAGGTTGCCCAGAGAGGTTGTTGAGACCCCATCCCTGGAGGTGTTTAAAGCGAGGCTGGACGTGGCCTTGGGCAACCTGGTCTACTGCTCTGTCTATGGCAGGGGGGGTGGAACTCGATGATCTTCAGGGTCCTTTCCAACCTAAACCATTCTATGATTATATGATTCAACAGCAAAATTTACCTTGAATTCATGGGAAGTCAACATAGATCCCAAACCCAGGCTATACCACCAGGCTATAATCCATGACCTATATCTTGCCATCAGTGGCCATCTCCAAACTAAAATTCATATTGGAAGGTAAAACGATATTGCTTGCTTCTGGAGTATTTGAGAACTGTGTTACAAAACAGAAAAACAGTGTTTCTCACTCTGGGAATGAAAGACCATCCCAAAGCCAGGATGCCCACTGAAATTGCAAATGCACAGGCCACGGCGTGTTTGTTTTAATGCTCCCACTATTTTAGGCCTTTCATTGGGCAAGTCTCAAGATAGAATATTTATTTTATAAACTCACCTTTTCACCTTGAGCATCTTGACAGTAAATGGGCCATTCACATGTGCAGGGAGACAGGCTCCTGTAAGAGTTCATCAGAAATAGTTATGTCATGACACAGTTCTTGAAGGTGTCATCTCTTTCTGTCCTATAAGTGCATCTGCTTTCCTCTTATTAGTGTTAAAATTGTAATATCACCCAAATACTGTAGGTTCTTTGTAGACATTTAAAAAATGGTCCCTCTCCCAGTCAGTTTACAGTCTTAAAAAGAAGTGGGAACATGCAAGAGGGAGAACACAAACAAACTGAGAGTCCCACTGTCCTTATCCCAGTTGAATGCCTCTGGCTGTTCAATAATAACATCAAACAATTTTCAATACTTCTAACAGAGTTTGGACCATCCCCATTTAGTTGTCCTGTCGGCTGCTATGTGTGCACCTTCCACATGATGGTGCTGGCCGGTCTGTATCGTGGGTAGGCTGTATTGCATTTCCTTCTTTGCAATGCAACTGAGCCTTTTCTATGCTGCTGTTCTCATCCTTACTCTAGATATTGGGAAGAAGGAGAGTATATGAAAAAAGAGTAGCTTGCTATACAGTATCACCTCCAGCTGTGTCATTGCTACATGTAATTATGCATACAACTTCTTTCCAATTTTGTCCTCCACAGAGCTACACTGAAAAATTAACTGGAAATAGAAAAGCACAAAAATGCCTTCTGCAGCTGAGTCATGATTTAAACTTAAGGACATTGGGACAAATATTCACAACTGGAGGATTTTTACCTGCGCTCTTCCCACTGTAGCTCAGGGCCTTAGCTTTCTGTAAGGGAAACCCCTATCCTAATTTAACCTTTCACTGTTTTGGATAATCAGTTTCCATACTTACTCACCCTAGACAGAAGAAGTATTTCCAGCTATTACATATATCAAAATACAGTTTATGATTTAAAATTATGGAATATAACTTTGGCTGTGTATGAAAATACTACTGTAATGATAAACTGCATAAAGTCATGGACCAAATTTTCACTCATACATGGTGCATTCTGTTGTTTGTTTAAAGTTTATTAATGGTATGTGTCTTTCTCTAGAGAAATCTGAAAAAATGTCAGAAAATCTAATCTCCAGCAAGACTTCCTTGAAAGGTCCAAAAACCTCAGCAAAGAAACAGAAAGGTGAAAACAAAGCTAAGAAATCTTCAAAAGGAAAACAAACACAGCTTGGTATGTAAGGTACAGCAGCAATGAAACAAGCAGTTATCTGATCTCACATGACAGCTACCTTAATTATTTTGGGCCCATGGTTTTAATTAAACATGAGATAAGTTAGACTATGCTATTTTACATATATAAATGAGAGATCTACAATTACTGATTATGGGTTTGTAACCAATATATAGAACATAACAAAGCTACATCTCAATATTTACGCTTCGTCCTGCTAGTTTAGATTTAATAGTTTTTTGTGCCATAATAACAGTATTGAATGGGAAAGTGGGAGGTTTAACATATATAAAGTGGGGAGATTCACAAAAGCTAACAGGCCAGGGAGAGAGCATCAGGCAGAGAGTGGTGCCCCCAGAAGCAGGAGTTAAGGTGCTCAGGATCACACCATAAAGGTACAATAATACAGCTTGAAAATACACCAGTCTCACAATTTAATTTTGCAGTGCATTTTATTGTGGGCTTTTTTTCCTGAGATGCACCAAGATACTATTCTCACTTGTCTCATTTATAAAGTGTATAGATCATGAAGTGTAATGCTAATGAGCCTTTGCTATATACTAATATTTTTTCCCAGTGATTCATGCACATTTGCAGAAAAGGTGGGAATGTATTCTTGTCCGAGTTTAATTTGGTTTGTTTCATGAATTTTTTTTTCTGCCATGACCACCACCTTCCTGAAGCGCTTTCACCTTTTAATCACCTTTTCCCTCCCAGCTGATTAATAGCTGTTGTGCTGCAGAGAACATTCTGCACATCAGTGCTAATCTCGTCCTGTCCTACCTTGCTGCGAAGCTTGCAGACCCTCTTCTCAGGAGCTGAAGAAAGACTGGCTCCTGCAGCACCCAGAGCACACTTGCCCACCTCACCACTGTCAGAGGGGACTAATGTCTGCTCCTACCTGCACACCTGCCAGTTCTGCTACTGTCTGCTGTTAGCCAGCCTTGCCCATTTATCTCCTCTTCACATGACACTATTTACGTGCTAATTGCCCCAGGCAGGTGCTATCAGGTAGCAGGCAATGCAGTTTTCAACCATGGAAACTGCACTGTGTACCATAAGATGACAGATTTCTTAGGGCTTCTCTCTTATGCAGACCACCTGCTCAAAATAAAAAATGAATTTTAAATCTCCATGGTTTCAAAATATGCTAACATCACCTTAAGATACAGACCTCTTTTAAAAGGCTTCACTCATTTCCTGTGTTAAATTTGAACTGAATAGAAATTATTCTTTGTTTCCTCTTCACGGTTTAATTTTAAATACATAGAGAAATTTTAATTATTGCCCTAGCAAGGAAAGGACTAACTATTTATAGTTACTTTCTTAGGAAGAAAATTTACAGGTAAGATCATGTTGTTATATTTCAGGTGAAAAGGATGAAGTTGATCTTTCTATGGCTGGTATAGGTAAGTGCTCTGATGACTGGGCTTTAAAGAAGTAGTTTTGGAATACTGCAAGCATTGTGAAGCTTCAGTGTTACTAATTCCAGGGAATGAAAATGAAAGATTTTTTATGAATGATAAAAATTCGAAACTATTAAGAAATGCAGTTATTACAGTGGTGATTACTGTACCACTGTCTGAGTAACAGGCAGTGCAGCATGGAATGCTGGAACAGGTATGGGTTTGTAGAAGATGTTTTTTATCTTGGGTTGAGAGGAGTTGGGATGAGGGGAAATAAAAAGCATCACAACAGCATTATAGGGTACAAATTGTTTGCATTTAGTAATATGTAAGCAATTGAAAGAAAAACTTGAAATATTTTTATCATTTTTTAATCTTTGATCTTTGTCAAATCATTATTAAATCTGGTGAAAAGATGATTTTTAGCATATCACTTGTGGTTTTCAATCATAGATATCAATAGGCATTGATTAACATCTTTTGCTTGGTAGCGGAAAAAAATCTGCTGTTTAAAAGTCAAAAGATACCAAGTATTTCTTTTGGCTTATGTGCACGAAAAGTGCAGTTTTAAGGACGGCCATAGTTAAGAGCTAAAATATGGAATTTTTTTAATTGAAATACATTCTTTTTTCTTAAACACCAAATAATTTTTAAATGTTTTTTCACATTTCTGGCTGGATTTTTCTTCTGACCTGATTTGTGCAATTCTTCCTCAGATATAGCTTAAATTGATGTCAATGTAAAATTTATCTACGATTTACAGGAACAGCCCAAAGAGTTATCTTTTTCATTGGCTTTTATCAGTATAGCTTTTATTGCTAAAAACTAAAACAATGTGGCAAACTAGGAATATACAAACTAGGTAATTTTTAAAGAAATCATAAATAATTTGTCTTCCTACACAATCCTATGAGCACACGAGTGGAAGTGAAAATTGCACTCTGATTAGCATCACCAAAATGACTAAGCTGCAGTTAACGAAAATGAACAATAAGTGGTCCCTCAAATGATGAAAGTGTTGCTTTAAAAAAAAAAAAATATGTATTTTTGGTGTTCCTGGAGAGACTTAAGTTTTGTCAGTAAGAGACAATTTTACCTCCACCTAGTGGCAAATAAGGTTAGAGCCGTAGTGTCTAAACTATTGCTAGAAACCTGTTGCTAAAAGCAGGAAAATAATACTACTATATGCCGATACTGTCTGTCCAGGATTTAAACTGTATGTATGGTATCTCCCAAGCATAAGACCTGCAAGTGTTGTTTACTTCTCTTAGAGCTTCTTGGTCCTTTGTGAAATTGTCATTGCACTAACAGCTGTTGACTGTTAACAAATGACGTGAACACAGTTTACTATTAGAAAACAATGTGAAGCCTCTGATTAGATGCTACATACTTCTTACTGGAAAAGAGCACTCAATAAAAATTTTCGTAATAGTAAAAATTCCAATATCGGCTCCTTATAGTACAGAATTTGTTATAATACAGAATTCTTTAACATAGAATTTTAGTCCTTTAGACTAAAAGATGTACATATTTTAATTCTGATCATTACTTTGTTTTTAACTTGTACTTACAGCAAGAGAGCATTGAAGAAAATAGACTATCTGTCCTACTCTGGTCCCTCTTGTAGTAATGTCTATTGTATTTTTGCTTGGCTTTAATGCATGCTTTTATTTTTTTCATTTGACATTGATACCTACATCTCTTTGAAAAGATTTTTTTAGCATTAGCATTTGTGGACAAGCTGTATGCATGATTCAGCATTTTAAAAAATAATATCATACAAGCTTCTTGAATAAACAACAGTTAGTCCTGGTTGGAATTTTGGATGTATCAAAAAACCCCAACCCTAACTGTTTGGGTTTACTTTAATTTATTTGAACCATGGGATTAATCTTCTGAAAAAAAAAAAAATCACATAAGAATCAGCAAATTATGTTTATAAATTTTCTGTAGGTTCTAGCCCTCCTAATTGCACTAGCCACATAACCAACTCAGAGGACAGTGATATGTACAAATTTTTTGTTCCTTTGCTTTCCTGTCTATTCTGTGGACATGTGAGCCAGCTGTGCACGGCAGAGGATGGAAATTGCATTCTGTTTTGGTGCACAGCTCTAGGTTTCTATCCTCTTTCTATCCTATGAAATTTAATTTGCAAAAGGAGGCCTCATTTTTTTTTCCTCCAATATATAAAAATGTAAAGTTTATGTGTACTGTTGCAGTTTGTACTAGGGTTTGAGTCTGCTTCCTAATGACATCCTAATGAGGCCTCGTGCCCTTGGCTAGGGTGACCTGGGAGTCCTGCAGATCAACTTTTGCAGTTCCTTAAAAGGATTAAATGTTTCCAGTCACCCTGGAATAAACACTTTTTCTGAGCCTGGTTTCATAGCCAAATTGATAAGCAAAAGAAGAATCTAGGTCTTGGCCTCATTAGCTACAGAGAGTAGATGTCAAAAGGGCAAGCGCAGGGACTCCAGAAGATAAATGAGTCCTGGCTTGGTCTGCTGTTACCAACAGTGAGTTTGCCCCAGGTGACTTTCAGAGGTCTTTCCCAATCAACATCCCTATGATTTTGTATTTTTTTGAAGCATCCACACAGAAATCTCTGAGATATCAAAAAGGAAAGTCATGGAATATTGACTACAACTTGCAAAGAAAGCGAACTAATGGACTGTGCACACCACAAATGGATTGTCTATGCTACAAAACAACTAGTGAACACTAAGTAAATCGTACTTGGTTTTGTGCCTGGTATGCCAGAAGCATCGTACATGTCATTAATTTTAGTGATGACTACAGCAGAGCTGGTGCAGTGGAGGAGCAGCACTGAAAGATTTTAAAGGATAAATGTCAGATTCATCAAACATTATGTATTATGGGATAGGCTTATGCAGAGATTTAGCTTCCCGGATGATAGAGATTAAGAAGGATTTATTGTTTTGTCAGTCCTTGTTGGCTTAGAGATGGCTTCTCAAAACATGCTGAGCCAGCTGGTCAGTATCATCATTTTAGATATATTAACTTCAATTTAAGGCACACACAAGGAGAAAAATATCACAGGTTCTGGGAATTAAGACAAAAGTAACTCGAACTGAGAAAGTAGAGTGAAACAAAGAAGAAGGAAAGTATCAGCTATTACTACAAAAGCCAGCCCATTTCAATACATAAAAATCCCATGTATACATGTCCCTACATCTCTTCCACTTTCCAGTTTATCAATAAGATGAACATTCAAACTGAATCCTTACTAGCCTTCTCAGACAGAAGTATAGTGGCCTTTATGCTCTTACTATGGCAGCTGAGACATACGGCATGAGTCTGCTGCCATGGCAGTATTGCAAAGGAAGAGTCTCTTAGGCAGCAGGATTCAACTAGCTGGGCCTATAGTGATCTTAATCACTGATATCTGTTATGTCAGCCAGAAGGAAGAACATGTAATCTGGGAAGGACCAATGTTACATACATAAAGCTGACACGCACTTAAGAAGAAGCACTGTATATTATCTTCAGGTTGAGTGTTTGCAAAGCACAGTCACTGGGTCCCCTAACGGCACCCAGTCTCACTAAAAACAATGAAGGTAACAGGGCCAGAGCTAGGATAAGAAATAGCTGTCTTGTTCTGAATTAATATGGATGAACCTGACAGAGCACATGTGTGTAGAAACCAATAGCTGTATATTCTCCAGCAAAGCTGAAAATGAAGTCTTGTATCTGGCTTGAATCTTAGTGACCTTGCTTTTGTCTCACCTGTTAGTTGAGAAATAGACTCAATTGCAGTCTGAACTGGATGAGAGGAACATGAAAGTCCAAAATGAGAAAGACATCCTTATTTGGGATGGTATTGAAACCTTGTTTAGATTAAACATTGGCTTAACATGACATTGCTCTCCAGGGAAGGACTAGAGTCTATTTATTCAAGGGCTTTTAAATCAGAGCTATGCCGTTGTGTCCTTAATGTATTAAAAACAGTCCATTAATGCCTCTTCACTAAAGCTCTTAATCACCTGTTGATCAAGACAGGGAAAAAAGCTCATACTAGGAATAACATATTCATTAAGCAGGAAAAATGTTAGGTAGAGTCTTTTCCAATATTAACAAAATGTAATATAATTTGTATTCTGTGCCTCCCAAAACAGAAAAAACTAAGCGCAGAGTTTCAAAGGCATTCTGTTAGGAAACAGTAAAGACCCAGTGTTATTAAGGTATATGTTTATGTTTAAACAATGCTCTGAATTTGTTTATCATGCAATTTTGCTTTCTTTCATAGGCCACCCAGAAATCTTTCCTTTAGTTTTCACTACAAAGACCCAAGAAATTTTTAATTGCCGAGTTGATGAAGATGTCACAGAAGAAAATTGTTTCAAACTTATTAAAAAGGAAGACATCATTCAGGACCTGCAAACAAGAGCTGCAATTTCTGATTTCCATCCTGTTAAAAAAGTTGTCCTAGTATGTAGCTTCTCACTTTAAAACTTAATGTTCTCAGAGTATATATTCTTTTAATGATAAGGTCTGTCCTTTTTTGGATGTGTACCTACACCAATGCTGTCATATCCAAAGGCTATATAAGCCATGGATCACTGTGAACTCAAAATTTCTCATGGCTCACCATGCACATTTGGGGTGGGTTTTTTTTGTTGCTGTTGGGTTTTTTTGCTAACGTGAGATTGAAAATATGCCAGAAATAAATATTACTAGTTCTGTTTCTGTAAACTGGCAAAGCATCACATATTTTGGCTTCCCCTAATTCATGGCCTACTCATTGAGAATCATTAAAACAGTTTCTTTTCTATTTAATTCTCAGTATGAAAAGATTAGCTTTATCCCAGACTTATATTTATTACAAAATAAAATCCATCTGTTCTTTTCAATTAGCACACTAAATTCTCTGTTAAGACCACAATATTAACCAAAGATACTGAATTTACACTAGTGGTGACTTTGCCAGTCACAGGCTTATGTGTGTTTTGGATGTTATTTGCTTACTGTTTTCCACTCATTGTTTTAATTAAAATAGGAATATCCAGGGGAAGAACTTTTGGTAGTTTTTGATGCAAAGTTCCAGTATGGACAGAATTTTTACCTTGTTGCTTCTGAGGAAGCCAAGGAAAACCTTCTGAAGGTAAGAAAATCCAAGTATACCACGGCATTCTTCAGTCTATGAGTGTTTCAGAATCTTGTCTCAAACCTATACTTTAGGAATGGTATTGTATTCGTAAGCATCTGATGTGCTTAGCATGCCAGAATGGTTCTCTAAAAGTTAATCTGATAATGGAAAAATATGCGTATCGCTGTAAAATATCTTTTATACTGAGAGAGACTGAATGCAATTTTTGTATTTTATTTCAGAGGGCCAGTATAAACCCTATTGCTGCATTTTTTATCATAAGCAATTTTATCATTTCCTCTGCCAAGACCCAGGTTTCTAAGTAAGACATAAAAGTAAAAGACTGTAATATATCGGGCATCTTCAAAGAAATATGCTTATTTTTCACAATATATATGTGCAAACTCTTCAAATCATACTTCAAAATGTTTATGACTTCTAAATAAGTCTGGATACAAAGAAGATTTCCCCTTGTGCATTGCATTATAGGAGAAGGTTTATGGGCAGATTACATAATTTTTCCACATGTGTTTGTTACCCAGCATCAGAAGTAACAATTAAAAGAAAAGCAAATTGCAATTTCACACAGTAGGGCCTAATGTAGAAAATCACTATAAATTCTCTTCTATATAACAGTGATTTGCAGTACCTCTTTAGTAGTTTAATATTTAATATGTAACATTTATCAGAAAATTCTAATGCATAAATGAATGAATGGTACCTAATCCAATTGTACCCAGGGGAACTGTATATCCACACTTACTGCATTGAGACAAAAGTAAAGAATGTGCGAATAAAGGCTGAAAAATGGGTTTCTAGTTCATACTTGCATTTCAGTAACAAATTTTTGAAAAAGCACTATTTCGCACTGTTTGATGTCACAGCGTCCAGAAACTACTGAAGAAAAAGAAGAAGAAAAAGAAGAAGAAGAAAATAGAGAGGCAACCCTGGAAGTCCAACTTTATAAGCCTCCTGTCCACAAACCTTGGGTTTCTCTTGGCAGTGAAAAGGAAGTTGAAGAAGAATCTGTTAAAGAGACTGCTACAAAGGTCAGAATCAACTCACATTACTCAATCAAATATCACAAAACCAAATTTATTTTAAGTTCATTTAAAAAAAACCTCAGGGTCTTTGAAGAAAACAAAAAAAGAGAGAGAACTAGGCTCAACTTTTAACAAAAACTGGAAGTGCTGCAAAATTTTTTTTTTTTTTTTATAACTCTGTTCTCTTTAAATCCTGCAAATGAGGCATGTGAAACTGTATTGGACATATCTACTTCTTAAGCAGTAAGTTCAACATCTGGTCATTAGCATCTCTACCACTTTTTGCTCAATTTACTATCTTGCCATATTACAAATTGAGTCATTCTAATTATATTCTAAGGACCTAGTTCTGGTTCCATGGAGCCCAATGAACTCTTTTCATTATATGGATGGTATTTAAGTAGCATGCAAGACTTGGAAAGGCTCTCTACCTCAGACTAAGTGTTACCTGCTACAGGTTATTACAAGCTGATTTTACAGAAAGACCTATTTGATCAACTACACCTACAGCTTGTACTGAGAAAATTATACATCCAAAAAAGGAGACCCACTCACAGCTGTCACCTAACTTGTGACACGTGGGGCATCTTCAAGTATTCAACTGTCCTTCAGTGATTTTTAGTCAATACCTAAATCCCTGTTCAGGGAAGACTGGCTAAGTTTTGATAGTTCTCAGCAACTGGACATCTTGCTTGTACCTAAAAAGATATCTGATCTAAAACTAATTCACAGTTGGCCACTAAATTTAACCTACATTAAGGTCTAAGTATTCTGTATTCTACCTTGCTGGCAAGGTCCACTCAGAAGTATTCTAAGCCTACAATCCTTTCCAGTTCTGTGGGAAGTGCTGGGAAAAAGTACCTGGCTGGGAATTCAAGAAAAACCAATACTTCTCCATTGCCTGAAATCAAGTCCCTACCTCTTTTTGTGGGTAGAAGTCAAACCACATCCCTTCTTCCTTCCTAGGTCTCGCTAGAAGGAAACTCGTCACTCAAATTTTTGTGGATCCTCTTTGGCGTACTTTTGTCTCCGTAGGCACTGCAAGGGAAGCTGAAATACCTCACCCAAAGCTGAGAACTGCACTAAGAGAGAAGGAATGAAAAGTTAGGTCTTGGAATTCCAATGCAGTAGTACATAAGACCTTCTATAAATGAGTCCTTTAATTAAAGGTGTGGTTTTGATACTGCATGAATTAGAAAATGTACTTATCCTAATTATTCTAATCCAAAACATTAGCTAAAGGCAACTTCTTGTTTTAGAAATACAAGCCTGTCTTCTATTACATATGTAGGTTATTTACATGAGCACTTCAGGATTTCAAAATGCAGAAATGTAAGTAAGCTCAGCACAGAAATCACCAATAGAACTAATTCTACAATTATATGAATGCTGCCATTTTACAGAACAATCGTTCCAAATACTTTCTCCTCTGTTAACTACAGAAATATCTCTTTTCCAGATTAAGTATATGATTTCTCGAGTACGCAGGAAGTTTGGTGCACCAATTACATTTACTGATAAGAATGCTTCACACGTGAAAGACAGTTACGTTGAATGCACATCCTATCAAGACAAAACATTCAGTATTAAAATGCTTGAAAAAGATGTTGGTGTACAAATGATTCCAAAAATAAGAGAAGCTAGTACTCAGACAAAATGGTAAGCATGAGAAAATATTTATCAGCTTTATTTCTTAAGCTACAGGCTGTTTCCGATCTCAACTAAAGTTATGTAAATTAACTCAACTCTTCTGGAGTCAGTTACAAATTGATTAAGAGAACAGAATTGGATGCTCTGTTTGCCTCTTTCTTCTTTCACTATTTTCCAAAGAGTTTCTAGAAAAACTGATTATATTTAGCTTTTAATTTTATACATTATGTTGGTTTCTGTCTTTGAAATTGTTTCTGTACTTACATTCAATTTTATTCCAATTGGTTAGGACCTATCCAAAAAATGCAGCCACGCAGTATTTTCCTAGACAGTTGTCAAATGAAGAGAAAGAAGAGAGTCTGTCATCTGAGAAGCTCAAAGAATTTCTTACATCAGTACATTTAAGGTAAAATTACTGCAGTAATACACTTTAAAGACTACCTCAAATAATATAGAATACAAGCAAGAACTCTTGTCTGAGTGGACCATTGTTCTGGTCAAATACTGATTTTTTTGTTTCTATATAATTTTGTTTTGTTTTGTTTTTCTCTCTTGCTTATTATTTTAATATTAAAAATATTAAATTAATATTTCTTTCTATGAAAATTAACATGAAGTCTATACCATATAAATATGCACTTTTGGTTTAAATAGATATTAGAGCTGTGAAAGTTGATAGTTAAGCATCTTTTTGAACAAGCTGCAAAGCTGATCTTTCAAACACTGCTCACTCAAGCAGAGGCTTATGCAGAAGAGCAAAGGTGCTGTCCTTAGTCATGGGCCAAGTCCCACTTACTGACAATTTTTGCACAAGAATTGGACAATTGCACTATATTTGATCAACACAGAACTAGAGTTAAATTCTTGGTACAATTAGTTATTCATATTTAAATGAAGTAGGGTTTCCTCACAGTGATGCATCACTGAGAAATTAGTACTTTTTTTTTTTACTACTGTGGTCACAATTTTGTGTGGAAAAAAAAAAAAAGCTGCCTCTGTACAGAAATATTTGTGATTCTACTACTGAGTAGTCACACCTGGATTACTGAAAGTGTTAACTGTTCTTTTCACAAAACAGAATGGAAATTGCATTGCAGCAAAATGAAATTATGAACGCTTTTTTTGATGACTGGAAGGCCCTAGCAGAAGATGAAAGCAGTTCTGGTGGCAAGCCAGATGTTTATCTTAAAGCATACCAATCATTCACAGATCTGCGCTATCTCAAGGACAGAACTATTAGCTGTGTTTGCTGGCATCCAACCATTTATGGTAATGCAGTTCAAATAATGATTTGAGACTTAAATTACATGTATTATATGACAGCTATAAAATATGCATCTTTCATAAAATTATCAGCTTTTACATTAAAAAAAAATCAAAGCTGATTTAGAATGTCTGAATTGCTGATTTGAGATGAAGTGAAAAATGAACTTTGTAGAGTTCAGATAGGCCATAAAAAGTCCCTCACACTAACATATAAGTGGTGATCGTAGGAAAGGGAAGCATCTCCCTTCTGAGGCTCATTTAAGTGCGGCTGCAACTGTGCCAGGTCCTTCTGGTGGCTCTGCATACCACTGTTGTTCTCCCCATGGCTGGTTCTTGTAGCACGCCTAATACTTGTGAGGAATGCTAGAACCACGATGGGACATGGCTCTGCTGTGTGCCAGAGAGCATCACGAGGCATACTAAATGTCTCCTCCTGCTCCCTGACATGGATTATTGCTCTACAAAGCCAGGTTTAAAGGCACAATTAAGTTTTATTTAAATGTCCCAACTGCACAGCATACTAATAACCAACCCTACAGCCTGTGTAGGAAATTAATTGTGCTACAAAAGATTTGATTTCATGATGGGTGGTCAGGACTACATGCCTGTCACATCATTTCAGGTGCAGTATTACACCATTAAGCAGTAGTAGCACAAAAGTTGAATTGTATCCTGATCCTGAGGTTCTGCAACTCATTGTTAAATAACTTAATCTTGAGTAACAAAAATAATTTCCTCAAGTTGATCTGTAAAAAGAAAAATATAAATACATGGTTGTTTTTTTGTTTTGTTTTTCTTGTTTGTTTGTTTTTTTTCACTGTATTCAGAATGTATAAATGTAAGTCACAGAATAATTAATAGCATGTTGAAACTTGAGTTGTTTCTTCTTAGAAAATTTGTTTTCTCTCTCAATCAGGGATTATAGCAGTGTCAGCAAGAAAGCAGCTTTCTTATGAGGAGCAAGTTAACCTTTCTGAGAAATCATTGCTGCAGCAATCAGTCATACTTTTTTGGAGTATTTTTGACCCTATCCACCCTCAGGTATTTAATCAGGACTTTAAATATGCCAAGTGTTTAAATAACAAGAGAGCAAACGATCAGTGTGACTGTATTTCTCAACTATTTTTTTGTTCTTCTTTCTAGTTAATGTTGGAGTGTCCTGAAGATGTTTACTGCTTTCAGTTCAGTCCAAGTGATCCAAATATCATTGTTGGCGGCTGCATCAATGGACAGGTTTTAATTCTCTGTTTAAGAATAAAATTGGATATTTCTGTATTTTCTTACAGTATAAAAAATAAGGATGAAGAGATGTACTCAACATCCATAATAACACATAGTGTCACAAGACAGATATCAGAGTCTTGGAAATTCTCTGATCCTGTATTGAAGTTATGCCTGGTTATTTCACAGCTGAGCCATTACTGTATGATGCCTCTTTGCAGTACCGATAAATAGGTCAAGCTGTAAAGGCTCTCTTTTTTTGTTGTTGTTGAGACAAGAATAGTCTTTCAACTGATTGCATCAGACCGAAGAGGAAATACTTCAAAGACTTCATAAGTTCTAGTGCAGAGAGTGAATTTCTTTTTTTTTCCCCAAATCCCCATAAATCATATATGAAAAAATGTGTATTAATATAAAGGATGAAATAATTCGTAGTATACTCAATTTTTTATTGTAGGTTGCGCTGTGGGATATTTCTCAACATGAAGAAAAGCTGCAAAATGCTAAACCTGCTGCTGACGGAATCAAGATGACAGCTGTTAATACGGTGAATGCTTCTGTTCTACATATATTGTAGTACAACTATATGTCTGGGGTGAAGACACGCAAAGTTAGAACACAAGTTAGTGGAGAAAAATGAGCGAAGGTATCCCAACTCAAAACAGAGGAGTAGATAATCTTTACAATGAAAGACTAGGAAGAATAAAAAACTTAATCAGTTCATGAAATAAACCCATTATCACAATAGCTGATTAGTCCAGCTTAATAGCTCTACTGCATTTTGTGCAGACTTGGACTTCAATAAGGCTGTTCTTTAATGGGCACCATCAACTCTTGCCTAATGAAACCTATCAAATACACATAGCATTTGTCACTGAATATAATACTGGAAATGATTCTGGAAGCTTATTAGTAGAAAAAAGGTAGCTTGGAAGATGAGAAGCAGATTTCAGTGGAAGGTGACTAAAAAGGGGATAAGCAGAAGAGAGACCAACGAGCAGAAGAGGAACTAAAACCATAAGTGGATGTGCGTGTGCCTGTGGAGGCATGTTGGAATTCTTTTCTGAGCTTCATATCCAAAGGCCTGTTTTGATGCTTTCCAAAAGGGAGGTATTAGATGCCTAGAAAGGTCTATAAAGTGATCTGAAATATGTGAAGAAGAATTAACAGTATGTAAAGTAACCTTTTTTTCTTTGACAGGTCTACTATTGTATTTTGGAAATACACTAAGATATCTCTTTTTAAAACTTTTCTAGCCATCACTTATGCAAGTCCAGCAGACTAGCACAGAGTCACCTCTAGTGAGATACTGCACGGTCTCTTCCATGCAGTATAGTCATAAAAAACCAGTAACAGATATACATTGGCTGCCAGGTTATTCTGAGGTGAGTTTAAAAATTCATTTTTCTTCTTTTTATAGTTTTCCTAATCTACTACCCCAGAAATCAGTGTAAATTCAAGATAAAATATTAATGATCCAATGATTTCTAATACCCTTTATTATTTCTCACTGCATTCTAAATATTAAAAAATCAGGTGCTACTTGTCCTGTTCATTGGGCTTTGCAACAGTGCTGTGTTCTCAACCTGATATGAATCTTCTCATACTGGAAAAAAATTCTGTAGCTTTATTGAAAATTATATTTCAAAATTATAATAAGCCTTCCGTATATAAAATATGTTGAATTTCTACTATGAGCAACCCTGTCTGCCATGTAGAATTCAGAGAAATAATTTCAATTACCTAAATATCCAGGCACCCAAGAATAGCGTTACTTTAGTTACCTTAATTCTTTGAGGTGCTGCCTGTGTACGTAAAACTTATATTTTCTGTGATGGTTTTAAAGCTCCACAGTACATAGGGTCTATGTAGTTAAAGGGTCCAACACTATTGCAAGAGTATAGGATACTCATTTACTATCAAAGTACTGCACGTTGTTGCCCAAATTAATTTGAAATGCAAGTGTAGTCAAATGCAAAATAAAATAGCAGGTCAATAGGAAGAAAACTGAGATCTTTAAAAGGTTTATGCAAATTAATATATCAATAATTTTTAAAACAAATTTTTAAGACATCATAGATACTACAGTCCTTAGCAACATTACCAGAAAAGTAAGGAAAAGGGTGCACACATAGTATAAAAAGAAAGCTGATACAACTGTTCATTATTAAACTATGCTACAGTAGTACCCATGGATACCAATTGGTACCAGATGTAAAACATGAAGAAAGGGATTGGATAGCAGAGCGCTGTTGTGGTTTTTGTTGTTTGGGTGGTTTTGTTTTGGTTTTGTTTTTGCCAAGGTTTAGGGTCAGGAAACTGTGCTCTTGTTCATCTGGGATAATAGATACAGGAAAGCTGTGCTTGATAAATAACACTGATAGAGGAATCAGTCAATATTTAGCAATGTGTACTCGGACATACATTTTGTTATGTAAACATGGAATATGTGTCAGCCTTTGCACAGCATTACAGTTTTTATGGCACAATTGCTAAAATCAGCAGTTTATTTTTACATATCAATGAAAAAGTATTCAAAGTTATATCCAGAAACTAATCCAGTTTTACACAATCCAGTTGTGAGACTACCATTTTGACTCCAGGTAAGCAACTCATGAATGAAAATAAAAGTAGGATTTGGCCCTGAAAAAAAGGTGTAGCTGAAACTTTGCCGCATGGTTCATAAGTATAATTTTAGCCAAAAACATACATTTTGCATATACCGGAAATTATATTTGATCAGTGCAAAAAAAAAATTATATTTGATCAGTGTAAAAGTTACAAGCATGGCAAGGTAAGGAGGGCCTGACTTGCAGTGGTACCAGCAAGCATTTATCCTGCTGACTTCGTTTAGCATTTTAAGTGTCTAGATATCAGTTCACTTGAAGTACATTTGTAAAATGTCTTGACTTTGTAAACTACAGTTTAATAAGTCCTGATTCTCAAACCTTACCCAAGCAGAAACAGACTTAATTTATAGAAGCTCATTTAGGTGTTGAAGTACTTAGAAAAGTGAAATTGTTGTCTCTCATCATCTTCTCCCCCTGTAATTATTATTCCTGTTTTTTTAGGAAAACCAAATGGGTGCTACGTTTGAAAACAGAGCTGAAGTTCGCGTGCAGCTTGTAACCTGCTCCCCTGATTGGTATATACAATACATGCTCTACAAGACATCTTCCAGTTTCCTTTGGAAAGCTTTATGGAGCATACTCCATGATTTAACTAGCACATTTCTGGATTCCTATCAGCCTATCCTGAACAGCTGAAATTCTGTATGCAGAAAACAAGCACATCAAGTGCTTGGCCAGTTAAACCCTTTACAGTAATGGCATTAAGGGTTCATTAACTGACAAACATCACATGTATACATTTATATTCTGTGTATACCTTAAGGAGTGGCTTGGTCTCACATGCATTGGCCTAAAGAGCCATACCACCACACTTACATTGATTATGTGACTCTTGCACAAAAAGCTACTAATGATGTTTGAAGCCAAAGAAATACTGTAAACTATATTTAAACTTGGAGACTTAGCTGGCAAAATCATTCCATGTGAATCTCCTCTTTTGTTGACTACATAGTCATGATGGTTATAAGTAAATATTATCCTGTGTGAAAGACTGGCAAGGGGGCAGAATGCAAAAAGTGCAAAGAAATGTTTAGCTTTCATGACAGCAAAAGGCTTAATGCTCCAAGGCTGCATGGCTGGGTTCAATCATATATTTGCTAGTTACATGAAAAGGAGGGTCAGAGGCAGCAAAATTTGGTAATGATACAAAGTTATTTTTCCTAATCAAAACCAGAGGAGACTTGAAAGAATTGTTAGAAGAAAGATTGCAAATACAATTGTTAGTAAGTTTGCAGTGTAATGCAAGTAATGCACATGGAAGTACTCACACACCAGGGCTCCAAATGAAAAATATTCACCTAAAATAAGAGCAGGGGAATCTCTGTAATGTCATCCATGAAGAGCACAGGCCCTGAGCAACTCCTGTTAGAAAAGGGGAAGAGATGTCAGCAATGAGGAAAATTATTGTTGTCTATATCAAATCTGTGAATGAATGTCCAGACTAGAGCAACAGGAACAGAGGGCAGAAAATTCCAGTGAGATGACAGATCCAAGGGAGTGGGGCCATTTGCCTTGAATGTCAGCAAATAAATTGGTGCACACAAGAACTGGGAATGAGGTTTGATTCGGATTACTAGATTACCTACTACAGAGTTCTGTCCAGTTCTCTGAACCTCTAGGAATTTCACCAGTGCCAGTAACTTCACCCACTAACTTTCCATAAGCAAACTGTATGAATATTATCTGGCTGCTTTGGTTTAGTTAACAACTGATGAAATGATGATAAAGGAATATACGCCATCATTTACAAAAGACACAATTAAGTATCCAGAATTTGTCTGCTTTTCAGAGTCCCTGTTGCTATGCAAAGTTTGAAGATGAAAGGCTAAAACAACAAAAAAAATGTGTAAAAAACTGCACCTGACTTTGAAACAAAACCAGCAAATAATATTATGCAATCATTTTGCAGCTCGATATTATTTTGGGATATTCCAGCCACCAAACTTCCTGAACAACCTTCATCTGAGAAAATAGAAGAAGAGGGAATTTTTAATATTCCCCCTGATGTTCCAGATACTCTTAAGCACCTAGATCTCTGCTGGAAACCTCTCATCAAGGTACTGTACACAAATATAGAACAGAAGGATCAAGTAGATATGGCCAGAATGCCATAGGAATGTATTCTTTCGCTTTTCAACTCTAATTTTTCCAGCAAATCGTGACTTCCTTGGGAATTTCCTTCTGATTATGAAATGAAAGACTTCAACATTCCTCTCAAACATCAGTAAAACACATTTTGAAAAGCTAACACAAGAAACAGCATAACTGCCTCTTAAAAACTGCAGTAGGAGCAAAAGTAGCTGTATTAATTGTCTTAAGTTCCTCCCAGCTCTTTCAACTGTTCTGCTGTCTATCCCAGTGGGTCAAACTGTTGAAACGTGGTCATGGTCAACAGACCCATAATTACTAGCAATACAACAATCACTCTGATGAAAGTGGTCATAGCAGTTTGTGATAAAAGTGAGGCTGAAAATAATCTGTTAGGTTGAAAACAAAATCATTTTGGACCTGCTGATCTGTGCTGCTCAGAATATCTGCAACTGGTACAGTTGTTGAATGCAAGCATGACCACCACAGGTGTTTTGGGTTTTTTTGCTACAAACATGGCAAAATTCTTACAGGGAAAGGATAACAAGAGAAACAAGAGAAACCACAGGTTTGCATTTGCATTGCTTGCACGTGAGGCAGCAAATACTGTTTGTGGAGTATTACAAACACACTACAAATTGAAAAGACCTGTTGCATTACAGCAGAAAGTAATTTAGTCTTGTACCTCAAAGATTTGACAAAATGAGTTAGCAAATGCATTTTTTCCTGAACAGATAAACCTGTACGAAAGTGATATCAACACAGAGCACGGTCCCGTCAGAATTAGTTTAAGGGAACTGCATTATCATTACAAAACCTCAGGTAATATTTTTAATACACCTTATTGGGGAACATATTTTTAATAAGCTGATATTTCAGTATATACCTAATGAAAGCTGAGCAACAAAATGTTGTATAACTAAATGCATCTGCAGAAAAAGGTTTCTTAAATATACTGGAATTCAAAGTGTGACATACAGGTATTGACTACAAAGATACGTACATGTATTGAGTACAAAAAGAGCAGTTCTGCATCCACAGTAACTCTGTCAGGTTTCACTAATAGCCCCTGCAAGTCCCCCATCCAGGCTCTTTATCTCTGAAACAGTATATCCTTTTCAGCCCTCATAGAATACTACTTTTAGAAACATAATCCTGGAGTAACAGTATATATTGTAGGTATTTCTGTAGTGCTTTGGATAGAGGTGTCACTCTTCACTACAGAATGTGAAATTAGCACTTCGTATTCCGTAGAGATCAGTTCTTGTTATGGTCCTTTGTGGTAGGGACATGCTACTAATCCCTCTGTAAAGTTGGCAAGCTGACACACGGGTAGCCCAAGAGTTGGACTAGCTGAGAAAGTGACTGCAAACCATGCCAGAAAATGCCTTTCTGGCAGTTGAGCTGCTGTGGCATAGTGGTTCCAGTGCATGCTGTCACACCCCAGACTGCAGGAGGCAAGTTGTGCCGTTCCTTGGAGCAGAAATGTTAGCTCCCGGTTGCAGCAGCTAAAGGAGATGTGTAAGGGCACTTTCCACGGAGCCACTGATGCTGTGTAAAGCTGACAAAGAACAGAAAACATGGTGCTACCCTAAGTAGTTGTGTGGGTATGGGAAGCACCAACTTCAGAGCAGATGCAGCAACAGGGAGATTCCACCAGGAAATAGTTAATCTGCAAAACTGCTGTTTTACTTAGCAGTCTTTCTTCACGTCTCCCTTGAAATTCCCCTTCCACCTTTATAAGACAAAGTATTTGCTTGCTCTGAGAAACTCCAGTGTATAATAAATAGATCTATCCATACTGTTTCCCAGAGAAGGTGCCATCTCTGAACACACTAGAAGTCCCTGTCAAAGACAGCCCACATACAGACATGAGTGCTCCTTCAAGCAAAAATCTGAAAGCGCTAGAGAATATCTCCACCGGCTTTTTTGTTGGAACTGAAGTAAGTGAAAATAATAGACTACTAATGAAATGTTAATCCCAAATATCTGAAAGACTGAACAATTAAATACCAGAGTTTTCACAAATGTATGGGCTTGCAAGTTTTCTTCAGCTGTTAACTAAAAAGATCTTTCTGGATGTGCCACATTTTCATGCATTTAGCTACTTGCTTAAAATACTAATTAAATGCCAATATCTAGTAGACTATGAAACTTTACTTCACGGGCAGAATTAGAAGGCATTTCCAAAATACATTGAACTAAACTACCTGCTACCAGGAACCAAACAATATTTCCTTATTCCAGAACCCGTAAGATTAGTCATACTTTTTTAGTGTTTCCCCAAACGTCAGTGAAAACATTCATATTACAGTTTCCCCAACAACTTATTTCCACTTTAGGAAGTCCCAGCTATTCGTACCCCTCTACCTACTCTACGTATCTAAAATTCCAGAATGTTTCCCAGTTTCGAGTTTACATAGAAATTAAAATTTGGCTTCTAGCTATCTTTTTGCTTCTGGTTACCTTTTCCCCAAACACTGGAGCAAAGTATGACCTGTAAAAACCGAGCACCTAATTCTGCAGGAACGACTGCTACTGCCTACGTACATCACGGTAAGTAAAGCTGTTTTGGCGATACATAACTGAAAAATGGTGATCCAAAACTTTAGGGTTTTTTTCAGTCATTGGCTGCAAATTTAGGTTTTAATTTACTCAGAACATATTCAATGATGAAATTAAGTAAAGTCACAGCTTAAAAACAAGTCACTTTGATATAAGCCACCAAGCTGTAACATTAGCATTTACTTGATTTTTCTGGCATCGCAGGATGGAGAAATTGTTTATTCTGACTGGAAAATGGAAATTGATAGTGACTCGGCAAAACCAGTTGGTAAGTTCAAGTTTCTCAATACCTGTTTAAACCTTGATATGTTGCTAACTTTAAAATATTTGCACCTGCACTCTGTCTTTTTAACGTTCTTGCTCATCTGCTATAATACTCTATCTCACTGATGACACCATGATTTAGCAGTACATCTTCAAAAGTGCAAGCAGTTTACCTGTCATGGCAGAACAGCAAAAACCCTCTCCAGTATCACAGGTGCGTCACTATCTATCTATTGGCACAAATCATGGAAGTAACTAGATTTGCGGCAATTCCAATTCCTAGACCTTGTGAGCAAAAAAAATGAGGCTAGTATCTTTGAAGCCGATGCTGGATCCTGCACTCTTGTTTCCCCTCATGTAACTCCCATTGTGAAGATGATCACTAAAGCAGTAGTTACAAGCAACTGCCTTTTTCATTCCATTAGGTCAGAAGCACACTCAGAAATACACCATCCACACTGAAACTATCAACACTCTCCAGAGATCTCCATTTTTTAAAGACATCATTCTAAGCATCGGTGGCCGGAATTTTGCCATTTGGAAAGAAGGGGTTACAGTAAGTTACTTTAACACAGCTGTAACATAATTGATAGATATACAAGACTATAGCAGAATCAAAGCCTGTATTTTCAGAAATGTTTGTAAGTCACAAAGCTTCATAGTTCAGAAGTAAATTTGGTATAAGAAGAGCTTTTCCTTGTTCTTCAGATCAGAAAATTATTTTAGAAACAGCTTTGTAAACTTGTAAAGTTTACTTGTAAACTTTGTAAGCTTGTAAAAACTGTAGCTTCTCAACAAATTATTTCTGCTGCTTGGGAAACCAAAGAATAAAGGCAAAGTGTGCTAAACAGGTCTGAAGAACTCATATTTAGGATGCAGTCTTTGCATCATGTGAAGAAAAAGAAATGGGGGGGGGATACAGTTGTTCTCATGTAGGAATCCAGATTAGCTGCACCTGGCAAAATCTCAAGACCAGAGATTTTAACAGCAGATAGACAGATTACTTTAATAGACTGGAAATGAGATATCAGGTTTTCTACTTCCCCACAATTCTCTTTATCGGCAGAAGGTGATACCAATTTTGCCATTGATGTAATTTTTGTAATAGGATCATTTATATTGTGAATGTTCTCAAATTATAGGAGATTTGTAGTGAATGGATAGTACTGTTTGATTGTTGGATCTATCTTTTATTTGTTTTTAAAAAAAATTAAGAACGGACCAATGCTTCAGTCAAGCTGCTCTGCAGGAAGATACACTGCAGGACAATGGTCCTTAACAAGACCAGGAGTTTTCTTCGTTGGCAGAGATGATGGAAATATAGATATTTGGGACTTGCTGAAGAAAACTTATGAGCCATCTCATTTCCAGAACATCTCCGAATCAATGATCACTTTCATCAGCCCCTGTATTGCCTCACGTATGTTGACAGGACAAGAGGAAATGGGTTGAAGTTATGCCAGGCGAGGTTTAGATTGGATATTAGGAAAAAATTTTTCACTGAATGGGTTATCAAACATTGGAATAGGCTGCCCAGGGAGGTGGTGGATTCGTCATCCCTGGAGGTGTTTAAAAAAAGGATGGATGTGGTCCCTGGGGACATGATTTAGAAGCGGTTTTGTCAGCGTAGGTTAATGGTTGGACTTGATGATCTTAAAGGTCCCTTCCAACCTCAACAATTCTACGATTCTGTGATTCTATGGTGACTGCACTTTACTGTGCCACCCTGTTTGCACAATGGCTCATGACTCCAAGGCACGCTAGTCTTGTTACAGACAATCTTATATAATAGATAAGGACTTATTTCCACTACTTTAACACTGCACTGTAAATACAAAAATGCATACATCAGTTCTAACTGTACTACCACAGCATAAAGCAACAGAAAATGTTTAATTAAAAAAAAAAAAGAAAAAGAAAAAAAAGAGTTTGAAGAAGTATAAACTTTAAAGGGAATTTTATTTGTTAAGAAAATAAGAGGGCAATAAGGCTGCTTTTTTGCTGCAGTGCACAATAAACCAAAAAGACCACAACAAAAATGAAACCTCTGTAGCTCATGTTTGGGTGGAGGTATGTGTTACTGTTGGAATTTAGATTGTTTATATGTTTTTTTGTCAAATATCTTTCAGCAAAGCAGCATTTTTTAGCTGTTTCTGATGATCTTGGAGTACTGCATGTTTTGGAAATCTGTCAGGCTCTAAGTCATGCTTCGAGGAATGAGGTTGGTAAGAACTTTTATTAATCTCTGTGACACTTTACCCTGAAAACTCCAACACAGAAACAAGCCTGCCTGGAAAAACTTGCCTTCAAATGGATGGCAATTAATTTGAGATCAGTATGGCCATACTCTCCAAAGATCACCTGCAGCAAGGCTGGCTTTTCACAGAGCTCAGATAGGAAGAACCTAAAGAAAACCTGGGTGACAACCTGGCTACATGAAAACACAGTAAAGGGTTCAGCATTTTTTGACACATGCATAAAATGACACCTGGTTTCATGTATTAAAACAATGCTATATAGTACATAGTAATGTAAACATACCAACTTTCTCTTTCTTTACACCTTCTCATCCACATTTGCATCCATTTTTTTTCCTCTAAATTTGCTACTTCAATTTACACATCTTAGTATCTGATTCTAGCTTAATTAAAGCACAGTTCGCAAACTGTTGCCAACATTACCACTCATTCATTCTCTTTTGAAATAAGGACTATCTGTACCAAAGAGCCATGGGAACAACATAAACAGTTTTAATTTCTCTTTATTTCCGCACCATTTTCAATTGTTGTCTGTTGTTTTTACATCACTAAATCTTCTTCTCCTCATCCTATCCCAGTTTTAAGTTAAGTTTATGTATGCACTTAAACAGTTTGTAAACATCCCATAAAGGTTTGCCGTGTGCAGTTACAATATATAGCAATATAACACTGGGTCAACAGCCTCGTTTTAGTAAAAGTAACTTCTCCAAAGCAAGGTAGGAGCTAAGTGCTATAACATGAGGAAACACATGCTGCCCAAATTATGTGTGTTTTGGAACTACACTATTTAGCACACAGAATTATCAACCTGGGACCGGTGATTAATATTTAGATTATGGTCATTCTAACTGAAATATTCACTGAAAAATACTACATTGTTGAAGTGACTAATGAAAACTAAAACACAGAATCCCAGATAAATGCATAGTGTAACAGTGAAGTATGGTATTTTATGGTTTCTTTGTGCCTGAAGTTGGGTGAAGATTTGGACTGATTTAGTGAAATCACTAACCTAAACCTGGTTTAGTTATTTCAGTGCAGATTCCTGAAGGATGATCTACTCTGGATCAGTGTATTTAAAATTATTTAACCCCGTGCATATTTGTATCCAAAATGAATTGGTTTCAATCCACATCTTTATATCATTTTGCGGCAAATTATTTGGATAGAGGTATCTATATTCCCAATATCAATAAATTAATAATACCATTCAGATGATCAGCAATAAGTTGGTGTCTTTGCGCGTGTAATGACCCATTTGTCATTGTGTTAATAGCATGCCAACGTACTTGATTATTTTGAAAGAGAAGTCAAATATCTGAAGTACTGCGAACAAGAGTTTCAAGAGTATCAAGAGTTTCAAGCCAAAACAGAATTGAAATGGAGGCACAGAGGGAGAAAACAGTATGTTATACTTGGAATTAAGAAACCTTTCTTTGTTTCTTTGTGTCTTTAAAAGGAACCTGTTTTGCTAGGCAGGATTTCCCATAGTATTTTCAAAAGCCAGGATGGACATAATCAGAATAGCTTAGCAGCTCCTTATTTCATATTTACAGTTCATAGGAGTGGAATAGATGCTCCCAGTTCATGTGAGTTCAGCTCTTGGCCAATTGAAACTTCTGCAAAAGCATTAGAGCCTATGGACATTTAACAACTATGAATTTGCTTTTTTTACATCAATTGCTCTTTCAAAAAGTTACATTTTGGCAACTTCCCTATAAACATTGCTCCTTCAAGCAAGAAGTGACTCCAGCCTTCAATTCTTTATTCACATAAGGATTTTGCCTATCCATTCTTTGGTAAATGCTTTAATAATACCAACAAATCAACCAAGAAATGACAATACAATTAATGTTGCCCTAGGTGATGTCTATTTTCATTAATTTGTGATAGCACTGATACTATCCACTGGAAAGCAATGGGGTTGCATAGAGGTTTCAGAGCTTAACAGTGCATTACTGCCTGGTATGTGTTTTTCCTTCAGAGTATGACTGCTATACAGAAAACGAAGATATGGAGGAGGAAGAAAATGCAGGCTCTACTATGTTTCTGGACCTGGAGAAGCAGATACTAGCAGATTTAGGACCAATAAAGGGACAAGAAATACTTTCGTCATCAGATGCTTATAGCCCATTACCACCTTTAGACCCAGCGAGCTTTTTATTTCAAGACCTTTTCATTTTGGCAGAACATGTTTAGCTTCAGAAATAAAGCGTCTTGCAGTTAGAGGCTGTTGTTTCATTAACTTTATCCATTTGTTTACTCACAATGTGGTTAGAGAACAACTGTCTTGGGCACACTTCCCCGCTATCTTTCATTAATACAGTTATCATGAATATTCTATCTGTTTAAATAATAGTTTTCAAAGTTCTGTATCTGTCAGGACTCTATAAGCTGTAAAAATCTTAAATACAACTCAGCCAATCAAATCACTGTGCCAGTATTCACCCCTCCAATCTACACCCCCCTGCTCCCAACCGAGTGGAAGTCATTCTACTCCAGTAGTTAGATTCACATAGGCCACCCAAATTCTGATACTCAGCTCTAGCAAGCACCTCCTGCCTCAGGCCCAAAGTATTCACTCCTCTTGAAAACCTAGGGACAAGCAGAAGGTTTTGGGGGATTTTGAGATGTCCAAGACATTTCCTGCTCTGGAGATATGGTGACAGAAAGTACTCCAGAGCAAAGAACGCTCACCTGAGATGTGTGCAGCCCCGTGTCCCCAAGCTGCCGTGGAAGGGAGAAGGGGAGGCATGCAGGCACACCGGTACCTCAGATGACCACAACAATCACAGTAACACGGGAGACGGAACAATTCCTCAGGAAAAGGCTCCACTCTCACCTAAGGGATTTAAAGATCAAAACCATACCCTGAATTGCTCTAATAAATCAATGAGCCATTGCGGCTCATGAAGCATAGGAACAAAGATATTTTTTTTCCACTAGAGATGATTTCTGTCATGAGCTAGCTTTACTCTACCCACGACAACTTCCACAAGCAATTGTTTCCCCAAATGGCACGTGCAGTCACCTGGATTACAACAGGGAAGAGGTGGCCATCACTGCTACAAGAGGATCTATCCCAAGAAGATTGTCACAACGCTCAAAAGGCATCATATAATGCTACTGCTTACACACTCAACATCAATGCTCCCTCAACAACAGCAACCTGGCTCTGTTCCCTTAAATGCAGCCACAACAAACATTCACCATGCTATAAAGTCTTCTGTTTATTACTTAGTACACTTAAATGATAGGGGAACCCCTTGCACCTCTACTGAATCCATACATTGATACACCAAGGGGCCATATAAATTAGTACACAAGTTTCAGCGGCTGCTTAACCTAAAGCATAGATCTGACCACGCTACTCATAAACCTTTCAAACTTCCCAGGCTGAACCACCTTTACTTGCCATGATCAGATTAGAAAATGATTGTTACCTAAGCCTGGCAAATGCTTATGAACAGAAAACCAAAGCCATTAAAATATATTATTCACTGTAAGAAATCAGTAGCGTTTAGAACAAACAGCTTTTACTGAGCACACTGTGGCTGTTAAGTGTGTGCATTTCTGTCAAAAGACAACTGTTCTTGAGAGATCGAATGGTGTTATACAGAAGTTTTAATATTTACCAGTGTAAATGAGTAACAGCTCATGAATATTAATGTTCATCCTCCATCCACAGAGACGACTCTTTCATAAGCGGTGTTCTGCTCGTTGCTCGTTTCAATAGCCAGGTCAGACACCACGTAACTGAGCAGAGCCTGTCAAGCAGAAATTAAATCTATCAGAGGACAGATTAAACTCTATACGGGTGAGTTCACTCTTTCCATGACTCACCAAACTGTTTGAGGGTCACGGACTCCTGTCAAACAAATGTCCATACGGTCAGAGTAGACACTAAAGCACAAAAGACAACTGACACACGGGGGATTTGCAGAGAGGATCTTTGGCTGACAAGCGATAGCCAGCGCCAGTGCTCTGCTTCGTCAGAGCAAAGCGTAGCCAAATACGAAACAGGAGCAGTGTGAGCTGCCTATGTCCCAAAATAAACATTGCAAAGTGGTTTTAGGTAGTGTTAAAAACAAGCCCCTTCAATTTTCTAGGGCCAGGATCTCCCCATCACGTACTTTTACTTTATCTGACCTTTGGTCAGATTTAAGGTAGGTTTGGTGCCACTGGATAGAACTTGGTTTGAAAAATGGTCTTTTGTTTGTTAGTTTGAAGTTTAAATATCAGAGTAATATTCCTTGATCCTCCTATTAAACTACATTTAAATTAAAACCAAGGAAAACACAACAAAAATGTCCCCACCACCTGCAGCACCATGTTTGCAGTCAGAGCTCAAACAGGAAGAGAACACAGCTCTGCTGTTAAATCAATATTTAACTAACAACCCGCTCCATACGGATATGTAAATATTCCACAACCGACTAATTATAAAGCTCAGCGCTCTGTTATCAGGCCTGGTCTTTGTTAGAACAACACCTCAGATCATCTTCCACAGATTTTTGATTAACAGGGCTGCAAAGTACATATACATTCAAGTCAACCATACAGTCATGACTTACCTGGAAAGCCCAACGGTCTCCCCTTCACTGTATCTCTGGAACTACAACCCAGAGGCGGCAGCAGCCTCGGCGTGAGCCTTGTGCCCCACCACAGAGGCACTCTGGAGAGTTTTTGATCACGAAAGTATTCCAGAAGACAGCCGGATCTCAGCTGGGTTTTTCTACCAGTGAGGACAAGGAGGCAGTGGCTCAGGGCTCTGCCCATCAGCCCCGCTCCGTCCCCAGAGCGAAGCAGTCTGGGGAGCTGCAGCAATCCCTCAATGGAGGTGGAGAAGCCTTCCCAAGAGCCATGTTCCTCCTCATCTCTGTTCCCAAATAAAGCCAGGAACATGAGATTATACAATCCATCGTGGTCCTTTATCCTCTCTAATGCAACCCTGGATGTTCAAATAGCTGTAGGGTCAGATTTGCATTATCTCATGGCAGACTGTTCCACAAGTTAATTTTGCCTAGCAAATTATAGGGTTTCCTGCGTGGCTCTGAAAAAGTCAAACAGAATGAAACCAGTTAACTCATTGTATAGGATGACATTTTAAAATGAATGCATCATAGTGACATTAAAATGTAACACCAGTGTCGTCGTCCCCCAAATAACCATCTTTCAGCTGTTGCTAGTTCCATAATTCAAGTTAAAGACTAATTTCAAAAGACATTTTTACTGTTAAGAAAACCCTGTACCTTGCGATGGGGAGGAAAGTGAAGGGCTTAAGATCTGGCAGCAGAAATATCAGATGTGTATCTGGCTTATCAGATTTATAGATTTATTCTGTAAAAACCCTGGATACCTACTTCTGCTGGGGATGTTTCCCTCTATTTTTAGAACACATCTAAATAGCTGCAGCTACGTTTTTTGCCCGGTGCATTAATAAACATCCACATATGCTATGTATTTGGAAAAGACATATCTAAAGATCTGAAGTTTCTGAGGATGTAGGACCCCAGTGGCTTGAGCCAGCCCAAGGTCATGCTGCCACCCCCTCTACTCCACATCCCACACAATCCCTACCCATCTCTTGCACACTCCTGTAATAAGCCAGTTTGGGAAGCTGAAAAGGGGGGAGAAGCGATTCAGTATCAGCTGGATCAGCCACACAGCCCAAGCAGCATCCGGACAACCCTGTTTGAACAAACAGCAATGCATTAAAACCCTACTGATGGGCCTAGTCCATTCCTGAACTTGCCTTAAGTGCATTATATCTTTAACAATTGGCTGCGAAGAGTTGCACAGACCTACGGATGCATTTCTGCTTCTCCCTGGGGACTACAAACTACGATTCTTGGTTGCTACCCACCCCGGCACATGGCCATCACTGGCCTCAGAACACCAAAAAAGCCCATAGTTTGGTATAACAATTTGCACGCGGTTTTGGCGCAAGGCTTGGAACTGTTTCTGCAAGAGCAGCTGCATCCATTTTCTTTACCTGGGAGGCGGAGGTCACACCTGAAGGAAGTCCACACACTCCAAGGACATCAACTCTCTGAACTCAACTGCAGGCTCTGCCCACTGCCTTGAACCTCTTCCAGCAGCGGGAGGAAAGAGCCCCTGCAGGACAGGACCTGCCCCTGATGTCAAACCGAGGTACACCAAGCAAACACCAAAGGTTAGTACGGTAAATCAAGCCCCTGGCTGTGCCCACAAGGTTCGATAGCAGCTCTGCCCCGCAAAGCTCACACAAGCCCAAGGATGCTCTTCTGTATACAAAATGTTCATTACTATTTTGGTAGGTTATTTTAAATCTCCCAATTTAGTGTTTCTAGATTAGGGTAATTCCCACAACTAATCCTCTTCTTTAAGGATCAGTAACAATCCTAAGAAGGATGAAACTTGACCAGATTATATAAATAATTATACAAAATGTAATAATATCTATACGAATATGTATAAGGGACAACATATAACAAAAACACCATTTGGGAAATGTCGCACTAAAAGACGATTTCTAAGACACAAAACGTTCTACAAGTTTAACTAGATTAACAGCAAAATGTTTCATTTTAATAATAGCAATACTTTACTACATTTTAATTCACTGATTAGATTAACATTAATAAAGTTTATCAAGTCATTAGTTTTCCCTGTTGTAAGGTTAAAACATTAGAGCTGAGAGCAGCGCACCGCTGCACTGAGTTACAGAACCTTCCTGTAGAAAAAGCCTGCACGTATTCAAAAGGTGCTCATTTACATCATCTACGTTATTATAAACAATGAAAACTTAATATACCACTTATCAAATAACTTTAATAGCAAACACCTTTCAACTAGTGCTAGTACATCTACAGAGCCAGTGCAGAAGCCAAGCTATGTTCAAAAGCATCAGCATCCTGCAATAAAAGAAGAAATGCTGCCAACACTCATTTGGCAACTTCCTTAGGATATTACTCCTTTTGGATTTAAGGTGAGTACTGTTTGTTTTGGGGTTTTTTTTTTAATTATGTAACTGAAATGCTGGGTCAATCTAGAAAAGACAACAGAACAAAACATCTTCTGAAAAGCTCAATGTCTTCATGGAATTAATTCAGATGTGCAGCCAGTACAGCTGTACGGCACCAGCTTAGACAAGTTTAAATAATCACTAACTAGGCTTAGTCAAATTTTGTTCTTAATTCAAATTTTATTTAGAATTTAAATTTATAGTTTAAAAAGTATGCACATTCTGTAGGTATAAAAGTTTAAAAAAATACATCGATTTATTGATAAATGCTTCAGGTTAAATTTACATTTTCATACATTATCATTATATTGCAATAATTGTTTTGCATCTGTTAACACTTATAAAAAATAAATTAATGAGATTGAATAAACCATTTGAAACCATGCTAAAAAAATTCCTTGGAAAACAGGGGTGAAGTTTGCCATAGCAATTCTTAATTCCTTGCTATTGTAAATAAATAACTCTTCAATTAAGCAATATAAGGAAGTACGGGTTAGCAGAAAAGCACTTCCCCACAGGGCGAGGGAAAGCCATGGCGGGATGCCCACATTGTACCAAAAAGATGAAGAGAATTAAGTTCTACCCTGCTAGGGACTCAGTGTTCGACCTCTCAAAACACATAACCCTCTCGCCCCCACCCGCCCATATCTCTGCTCCTTTTGGTTAGAGGGACCATACAAATATCTGTATGTGATTTGGTACCTATTTTTAACTAACCAAGAGTGTGTTTCCTTAACACGAAATGCTGAATTGCTCACCATAAATGACTAAAGATAAAAGACAATCTGAGAAGATGGCGATAGCTGAATCTAACAAGGTCACAGTGAGCTGCAATCCCACCCAAACTCCCCAGGAGTAACATCACTCAACCCATTCAACCTCATGTAATAACTCAGGTTTCCATTTTTGGGAGATTAATTTTAAAAATAAAAAAAAAAAAAAAAAGACTCAGAGAAAAGAGCAACTGCCTCTGTGCAGAATCTGAGTCTTACATCTCCAGAGCCACATACATCTCCAGAGCCACAGCCCTTCAGAGAGGGCTCAAACACATCTACCTAACAGCAGCCAGACAAAGATACCTCAACAAAAATACATGAAACTCTGGAGAGGGGAAAAAAAAAAAAAGTATCGAAATGTCAAGAATGAAGTAAAGGGTTACAAGGACAAACCAGAAGTATTTTTTGAAAAGTAAATACATTCCAGACCTTCTTTATATATTAAAAATACATGGAGGAAAAAACAAACAAAAAAAAGAAGAAAAAAAAAAAACCAACAGAGAAAGTGTGGTGGGTGTGTGAGAGAGACAGTTAATAGTCAACACCTGCGAACCGATGCGACACACAAGGTCATTTATATTAATCATTCACCCTGCCTTCTCTCTGGCCATGTTTCTGTGCATAAATCAACGCTGCGTTACCCAAGGGGTAACTTCACCCTGGCATCACACACCACCTCTTCTTAGAAACAGTCACATTTCCTAATTCCTCCTTTCCAAAGGTGGCTACAGACACATGCACATTTATACATAGATATATACAAACAAGGTTAGAAAAATATTTAATTTTTGCTTGTTTAAATAATTATTGAAAAGTGTTAATACAGGAATACATTATTATTTGTACAATTAAAACTTTATATATAAATATTATATATATATAAAGCATTTTTCATAGCAGCCATTGCATATATAGTAAAACAAGTCTATCTGAAGCCCATGCTGCAAACCTCAGGCCAAGCAGCGTTCGTCCTCTTCCAAGAGGAACATCCGTACCGGAGCTAGGGTTTCAGGAATGAGGACTTCTGCTGCCATCGACAGCAGAGATGTTGCTTTATCTTCTGCCAGGTATTGCCCAAACCGCCTAAGTGCATAGTATTTTTAGGGAGAAATGCCACTATGTGGAATCACCTCACAGTCTCTCTAAGGTTGTCTCCAACACCAGAATCAGGCCAACACCTTCTTCTCTAACAAAAAAGCAGAAATGTCACGGAATGGCTTAAAATTCGTTAATGCAAGGTGGGCTGTGGCCTTACCACACGGTGTTCAAGGCCACCATCACTCCTCACACAGGTGTTTGGAAGCCTGGTGAGGGGCACAGAGGCACTAGGAGGAGGCGTCATGCAGGACAGGATTTAATAACTCATATTTAGCTTGTTCTTGTTGAGTTCCCTTTCCAGGTTTCCTATCAGAGTATCAATACTTTCCTGCAGGTCTTTGAGGTTCGCCCTGTGATCCACCGCGGAGTCTATTGCTTGCATGGTCAAATAGCTCTGAAAGGTGTGCTCCACGGGGACGGGCTGCGGCCCTCTCAGCGAGGCATCCGACTCCTCAGCTTTGCTGCTGTCATCCCCGCTCTCCGTGTCTTCCGAAGGGACGTCATCGTAGTCTGCTTCACTCAGGCAGTCTTTTGGGTTTAGGAAGTAGTTCTCCCCACAACTACTCCAGTCTCCAGCGTAGCGGTTGCTGGAGGGGCTGTCTAGACCTGCTGGCCTTGGTCTGAGCACCCCAGACATCTCGGTACCGCTCAGATTCAGCATCTGAGGTCTCTGCCTCTTGGGTCTGAGGTAATTCAAGGAAGATGGGTGCTCGGGAAATGCATTCAGATGTGCTGGTTCTTTGGCAGGCGAGTGATGCACTAGAAGAGAGGAGAAGTTAAACCAGAGTGAGGGCTGAATCCGTACTGCAAAACGAAAAGTCCACGACAGATGCCCACTCTCCTCCCTCGACGTCACACGCTAACAGCATGCATGAACGCATGCAAGCTTACAGCCAACACATTCCGCTACGATGTTTTCCGCTGCTGTTTGGTATAAAATAATTAGAAAAACTACTGTAAAAGCTCAGTTTTTACAATTCATGCCAGATTCAAACTGCAATGGAGAGAAGCCTATCTAAAAGTAGAAACTCCCAGAGCACAGATTAAATTCACTGGGTGAGTTAATCACCATTCGGCTCTGGGTCAAAGAAAAGCAAACAGCTCAGCTCACACGCTTCATCCAGGCTATAAGCGTAACAGAAAGCAGGCACAGCAAAAGAGGTTAAAACACAACAAAAATACCACCACAGAGAAACACCTAGAGAAGCTCAAGACGCACCAAGAGTTGAACTCCTGTGTTTCTCTTTTGCCCTAGTGTTCTGCGCCATTAAAAGCAGCTCGTTTGCATTATGCATTATTTTTCTAAGCAGCCACAACCCCACGTCAGACGTACACTCAAACAGGTCGGACGGTCATGTTACCTGAGCTCACGATTATACAGCACAAGTTACTAACAGTCTCCTCCGCTGTTACCGGCTTCCTATGGCAAACAGCACAAATATGTTCACTGACCTGTGCCTACTGAATGTCCTAGCTGCAAAACTTCTTTTTGTTTTAAACAGACCGCTACCTCTCGTAACTGGAAGCAGAGGCTTTCTATTCCCATTCGCCGTTGAAAGCCTGGCGCACGCAAACACGTGTGGTTCAGTGTCTCACCCACTCCTCGTTAGACTCCTCACACCCCAGCGCAAAGGCTCAGTCCTGAGATGTGCTCTATGCTTCTCTTTCTGGGCCTGCATTACAGGTCTCTCCAGGGGATTTTAGTCTTACTTTACATCTTGCACAGTAACATGCAATAACCATCACTACTTCCCCCCCACACCCCTTACTATAACAAAAGCCCTTCTGTTGGACTACGCTCCATTAAGACGAAGGGCCATGGGTTAACAATAACTTGCCAGTATTACACGGTCTAACTGAACAAGGACTATTTGTTTTCGGTTGGAAAAATACGGAAATTGAAGTATTGCACAACATGTTGATTATCGAGCTGTTTCAATCTACAGGAGATTAAATGTAAGGGACCGGACTGCGATCCTTCCGTTGGGTCCAACTGCTCTGTTTACACTGTATGCCGTACACCTGCTCACCTCTCTGCCTTCGTGTTTTACCTCCCTTTGAGCACAATGCCCTGCACAGTTCTTGCAAGCCAAGGGACAGCGTTCAGCGATCCCTTCAAGGTGATGGAAAACTCTACTACTTACTCTCCTCTTGCCCCCTTTACAGCGATGCACAATCCTACGGGCAGAGATACATCCACCGCCTTTTGCTTCCCCCAGCAGCCACGCCATCAGCTATCCCCAGGGATCCATGATTACGTCCTGCGCAGTATTCACTGCCCAAACAGCTCTTGGTCTCCCTCTTCCTCCACCCACGCCTCCCGTCTCTCCTGTGCTGGCTCACTGACCTGACTGAAAGCTTCTCGACATTTTTGGTGGTCAGCAGCTTTGGGGCTGCCCAGCTGCAGCTAACAAGGGAGCAGAAATGTCCTCAATCGCCTCAAGCCCATCACGAAGCTGCACCATATGTCAAACTAACTCTCCTCTTGCTCTTATTTTCAGGCAGAGGAGGTTTCCCTGAGGCTGCAGCAAGCAGAGCCAGCAGTTTCCCAGCGGTGCTGACCCAGAGCGTGGTCAGCGTGTACTCGTTACAGCCACAGGGTCACCTGTCACAGGAGGTGACTCCAGGGCACGGCCACTATCAGGTCAGCAGAGTATGGAAAAAAACCAAAACCAAAACAAACACCAAAAAAATGTAAAAAGCGCTGCCATTTTCATCGTCCACAAGCAGCAATTCAAGCTTCCCAGATGGTGACATCCTTTGGAAAGCAACTCGCCCACTCAGCTGAAAATCCGAGCAGTGTGGCTAGCAATGTCTCCTGCAAGCAAACTATGATAAATTAGACTTCGGTGGTGGGGGAAAATTAGACAACACAACTGAGACTACACTTGTTGGGGTTTTCTTTTCCTCCAGTACATTAGCTGCCTGCACTGACTTTTTTCCCAAACTCTTTTCCCATTGCTAAGCGATAAGGCAGGTGCAGGTGCTCGCAGCAGCACACACAGCAGCAACACGCTCCAATTCACAGCCGCTCTGGCAGTAGGAAGGAGCCCAGCGATACTCCCCAGGTGGAAACTGTTGTAAGAGGAACGAAGAAGAAATAGCCCAGCCTGGCTGAAATCACTGCCTCACTCAGAATATTCTTTATACTAACCAGTATCTGATATATCACAAGAAACATTCGAGCACTTGAAAGACCTCAGTGGGCTATTCACAAACCTGGCAATTAGGCTGTGCGGGTCAAGTGAACTTATAGTCATCTCTCTTCTTTAGCATTTGCTTCACTTGTCCTGATACTTCATAGTTTTACCCCATAGAGGATTAAACCTTCCCTGAAAATTCTTTCTCTCGTAATTAAAATAAAACCCAAACAAAACAGACCCCCCCAAAAAAAACCCACCTTACAAATTTAAAATAAATCTCTAGAAAAAAACTTAACAAGTATTACTAAGTAGAGCAGAGACTGTTTAAGATGACCTGCGTTAAGAACAATACAGTGTAGACTCCTATACTACTTTGCAATCCTAAAACCCCCTTTAATTAACAAGATCATACATCTTACATCATTCGATTATGAACTACTAAGACAAAGACTACACATTCATGTGCCTATCCTGCACATTCATTTATACCTCATGTCTAGGAATAGACAAAAAAAACAGACACTTTTTTTCCGTTTTTAATCATTGTATAGAATCTGCCAGTTACAGGTCTTTGCCAACCCAAGCTTACACGTCAGGAGACCTTACTGGGCCCTCCAGAATAAAATGCTTTGAGAACCCCCTAGCTGGCAGTGGCAATTTCTCTTTAGAATGTTTGCAATGGGGAAAGGTGATGGGGGGGAGGAGAGCTTTCCCCAAACGCTTTTTAAATGAGTTGAGAAATATTTTGTATCCTGAACACAGAGCAGCAGAGTCCACCCGGCTCGCTCAAATTCAGCCACAGCATCTGTAATTCAGTATTGCCGTGTTCGTGACCCTCCAACGTTTGCCAGGTGACCCCAAGTCTCCCATAAAAAGAAGCTCTCCTCCTCATCAAGTAAAAATAAAATAAATTTAGAAACAAACCCAATCAGGAATATTATTCATTTAAATTAACTGTAATTCCATTTCATGTTCAATTGGTGCAGAAATTCAGCAGTTTCCCAAGAGCAATTACTGTGTTCTATAAGCGAAGAATTAAGAAGCTGTTTTAGATGAGCTGAATCTTCTCTTAGCCTTGAGAATTACAGGGTTTACACTGCTCAAATCTGAGAAGTGGATATTAAATTATTCGTGTTACGAACAGACCAGTTCTCCACACCGTTAGCCAGAGCACTGTGAAAAAGGAAGATACTACAGCACAGCACAACCATCTCCTGCATGGTTGGGCAGCTCTCAACAGCTGCTTGCCCAACGACTATTGGAAAACAAAACTAAACCCATCAGATCCAATGTTAAGTTGTTTCACAGTATTACCCTCAAACTCTCCCTGTTTAAATGAAAACCTGCAATACCTTCGTCTGCTCCTGACCTCGGGCAGTGCCTGCGCAGCAGCAGCACCGCTCAGGAATTCACCACGGGATGAAGCCCAGGGCTCCGGATGCCATCCTGCTATTTCCACTGGCTTATGCCTCTCTGAATACCAGGGGAAACACGAACACTCTGCGATCATTTCCCATTTGAAAGGCAGATCTTAGCAGAAACAGTTACCTGCACTTCTACTTTGGTAGTTTATTAGGAAGATTAGAATCACCTCCCTTCTTATTGGCAATTGACCCCAAATTGTGTGAAAGCACATGACCTCTTAAGTAAGTTTGGAAGTGGAAGCTAAAAGGTACTAAGGGCGTTTTGGTTTGGGTTTTGTTGCTTGCTTGGTTTGGGTTTTTTGTTGTGTTTTGTTTTAAAAACATTTCTCCTTAGGCAAAGCCCTGCAAAAACAGCTAGAAGTTGCACAGCTCTTGCTGTAAGGATGCTCCCAACTCTGCCCAATTACAAGGGCAGAATTAAAATACTGTTTCAGGTATCTCGGAGACCAAACGACTAATGAATTCCATACACAGACAATCCTGAATGGTCAAAGCAGGAGAGCAGAAAGAAAAAAAAAAGTACCAGAAACAAAACACTCCCCAACCCCCCTAATTCAGATGTGGAAACCTTACTGTCACTGCGTTTGTTTTTTCTACTGTCTTTACTCAAATAGAACACTCTTCACCACTTCTTACATTCTACTCAAACTCTCCCATCTGGTAAAAATGCAATTAAAACAACAAACTTCCCATTAAACAAAGTGACCTAATACAAAGAGTAGATAATAAAATTGTCGTGATTTCTTTAGATTAATAAGTGACACCGTAGTACCTCGTGTTTTAAGAATTCTGATGCTGCTCAGTCATCCTGTGAATTAATGTACACTGTGGCACAGTACAAACATACAGTAATGGTCTGACATTTTCCCTTGCTCAGACTCATGAAACAGTACCTGGCCACAGCTGGAGTAAATAGTGAAGAACCTCTATGTGTTTTTTGAAGTCCAGGGCACTGGCAAGCTCTTCTGAGTCTGTGAAGACTCTGTTGTTATGGTTGGTGGTCTCCTGCCTCTGGCTCAGTAACACAGGCCCAAAACACACAGCTAAATTCTGGCATGTCATCTTATTTACTTCGTGGTATGAAGCCACCAGTTTCAGGTGATCCAACAGCATCTTCAGAGTAGCCTAAAAGAACAAAATACTGCTCAGGAAACAAAACACTAGACGAAGGTGGTGTTGACATCCTAATGTTGCTGCCCAAAAGGAATAAGATCAAGGCTGATAGCTATGGTTTTTCTACCAACACCCGTCAATGGAACATCTAAGTGATGAATTAGAAAAGCTGTATTAGACTACCACAGAGCAGACTAGTTCAGACAGACTATCTGGTAAAATTCAGCTTGTTTCTTACCTGATTTCAGATTTACATGGATGAGTTTTCTCACAGTGGAAAGGGGACATCAGGGAGGGGAGAGAAGCTGCAGAAGCAGTACAGACGATCCAGGTAGATTAGAAAATAAAGAAACCCTCAATATGACCTCAGCATCAAAACAAGCTTCCAGGTAACTTCCAGGTACGGTGCAGGCCACTCGCTCACTCTCTCCCATGGCCTAATTGTGGTGTTCTACACAGGTGAATGGCGCACCCCACTACTACACTGCACAGTACGGGAAGCGAAGGCTTCATCGCACATGTTTAGGGCAGAGGAATGCATTTGCCCATGTAATTATGACATACAGATCAGAGAGCTCCACAGAAATGTTGTATAACTAAGTGACACCGTAGTACACAGAAATGGAGCAGGACACCACACGGGAATAATCTTTGATCTAACAACATAAAAGTAGTGATCACAGCTTTTCATTCAGTTTTATGGAGACAATATGAAATGCAAACCGGAATAAATCCAGCAATGCAGACCCTCCAATTAATCACAGCATAGAAGTATTTTCAAAGACGTGGAGCATCAAAAATCCAAGCAGACTGTTAAGTCAGGAAACAGGTGTAGGCATTTTGACACATTTTATATCCAGTGTGAAAATGTTCCTTTATTTTCTGAAGCACGCAATTTACTTGAACCTGCTAACACCGCTCACCTTCTCAACATCTGGCAGGCAATCCAGAAGGGCTGCTGTGTGCTCAGAGTCACTCGGGTCATTCTCGCAACCGCTTGCTGTCATTTTCAAGGGATTTTTCACCATGGCATCCAACACTGCTTCATAGAGCTGCTTGGTTATCAGGGGAGAGGGTAGCTCTCGCAGATAGTCCTTTAGGACGCCTTCACAAGAGACACAAGAACAGTGGCCTTTAACAAGCTGCAGATTCACTTTCCAGTGATTTTTGGGAGCACTAAGGCACATCAGCTTCACCTGTCCCATGAGAAAATCCTCTGTGGCAGTGACAAACCTCACACCAGGGAGCGATGGATGGGAGGATGACAGCAAAAGGGCACAGTGGACCATGGGTACGTGAGGGATCCCCACAGGCTCAGCTACGAGGCAGGAGGTATCTCTGCAACATCCCCATGAGGCCAGGGGGCACCAGCACCCTTGCCGGAGCAGGTACACCAGGCGCAGGGTGAGCATCTCTCCAGGTCCCCCTCCTGATCGGGGCGAGGGACAGGCAAGGAAAGGCCTCTTAGCAGTCCCCTCCTGTCCAAAGAAAGGAGCTCCTACAAACACCAAAGTCTTCAGCCTGATGACACCTGCTCCTTTATATGCAACCGGCAATTCATTTTTCTGTTCCGTTTATTTTCAGCTATAAAACTATAAGCAAACATCCCAGTACCAGCGGCACATTTGGTGAAGCACGCAGTGTTTTCTCACCTACCAAAGCACCAACCAAACAGATGTCCTCAAGAGGGAAAGACCAACTCCTCCGTGCCTCTGGGGACTCTGCGTCCCCCAGCACACCGCTCGCTTCTGCTGTGACAAATGTAATTCACAGCCACGGGAGACAGTGGCTGAAACAGCCACGCACTGAGCCCTCCCAGTTGCAGAGCCATACTGCACCATTTCAGGTGGTGACGTGCTGGGGATGTGCTGGAGGAGAGGCTGTTTCTAGGGGATGCAGCCACCAGGTTCATTAAACGTCTATTCCATCTATTCCTGCCACAGAGGCAAACAAACAAGAAGGAACTGAGCCTTTGCATTCTTGTAAGCTAGCTTTAAAGGCTGGCCAATACTTCAGTTTGAATGGGGTTTCAGTGACTGTAAGAATAATAATTAAAAAACCCCAAACATTAAGACTCCTAACAGCACCCCCCTGGGAAGGACACAAGCAGAATGCTACCCAGCAGCAACGCATCCAGCACAACTGACACAGAAAACAGAACAAGACGAGCCTGCCTTCCAGCAGCTTTTACTTTCCTTAAAAAATGCATTCGGTGCCACAAATATCTACCCGTTTGACCTACATCACAACTGAATTTAAATATTTTGTTAAGAAGAAATGGTGAATTAAAAAAAAAAAAAAAAGCTTTTTGAAAGCGGGTACTGTAATAAATGCAGACTGTCCTCCAAAAAGGCAAAGTTGGAAAGGTAGAAGATGTTTTTAGTCTGCACTCCTCATAGCTTTGTAAAATCCCAAATCACAGCAAATACCATCACACTGTGCTATTTAACAAAGCAACAGTTTTTATAAACTTAATCTTTATAACCTAACTGCAAACTGAACTGTATAGCAGTGGGCTTTGCTATGAGGTTGTTTCTAAAAAAATACAGGGAATGAAAGGTAACATTTTTCCCATCACAGCCATGTTTACATGCAGAAGGCAAGTAAAAGCTGGTTTCTACCTGTATAAACATTTTTTTTTAAAAAAAAAAAGTACTGCACCTAGCAGTAACGCAGCTGTTCAAGCCATGTTGTACGAGCAGCGTTAAATGAAGCAGCATCAGCCCCAGGAGCTGCCAGACCATCCCTCTGTGCAGCATCAGGCATGGGGCAGCCAGACAAAATTTCTCCCTCTGCAGAGTACCACACAGCACCTGACAGCCTGCCCTGTGCTTAAAATGGGAACCTCCCATCAGGAATATAAAAAAAGAGAACAACCACCCACATATTATCCTGAAAACATATTCCCTCTGGTGGTTTGGGGTTTTTTGTTTGTTTGTTTTAAAAAGAATATGCCACTTCTGTTACAGCTCCACTTAAGTGGCTAGATTTTTGTTTAATAACTTACTCATATTCCCTCCTCCCCACCAAATTTTATTTCTTCCCCTCATTTTAGAGGACGGAATCCATGCATGGATTAGCTAGTTAAAATATTTATGGGACAAACATGGCAGAAGCTGCTGTAGTACAACATGGTTTGGGATGTTTTCCTTTTCCCATAAGCAAAACACTAGCAAGAGATGTTGACTTTTACCGCGGTCTTTTTTTTTTTTTTTTTTTTTTTTTTTTTTGAGTGGGAGGCTGAAACCAGAATCAGCTTACAGTAGGAAACGGTGTGTCATGATCAAATGAGCTTATACTGTTGAAACACTCACAACCACCTATTAATAATCATTTAGTAGGAATTCCTGTAATAGCATCCACAGTCATAGGACCACCACCTGCCAAAGGACTTTCTCCTGCTTAGCCCTGAATAACAGGATAGTTCGGGAGCCATGAATGCCCCTTGACCTTTCTAAATCCTTTTGCTATTCACTCAGCTAAATTAGCCCTGTAAGAGGCTGCTGTTATTTTTTTCCACGAGTCTACGCTTCCCGCTGCTGCCAGCCCCCTGGCACATTCCCCTTGACACAACCACACACAACAAATTAAGACAGCGAGCAGAAATTGCCATCCACCTCATTAATTCCTCATTTTTCTGACCCACTGAACTGTTAACAGTACTGCATGCTTTATGCAGAGATATGAATTCACGTGGATGCAAACAGACATGAGGCAACAACATGACTACTGGTCAGTTCTGAAGACTGGCTGCACGCTTCAGTTTGAGCCACAAGCACACTTAATTGTGTGTACGCCTGCGCCAATCCCCAGAGCATTTCTCAGTCAAGATTTAATCATTAAACGTTCATTCTTTAGTCTTTGGAGAGCTGTCAAAAAAAAAAAAATATCTTTTTCATCTTTTGGAAAAGCAGTGCGACTCAAATTTCAAAAAGGACAGAAGGCGGCACTTCAGCCAAGATTTATGCTGAAGATTCATATTTTATGGAACACATGCTTTGGCTTATAAAACTATGAATCATGTGCATCGGCCTCAGCATTGCAAACACAGCAGTAACACATCAGGGGAAACATTCCCTCCCAACTCCGCTCCCTAAATGTATACAAGAGAGGTTTTGCAGGCTGTTTTGTTCCTTGTACTAAGCACGGTGGGTACTTCGAGTCTGTTCAGCAAAAATTGCAGATTCCCCTTTGAGTCCAGACCACGGTGTTTAAAATTAATTAGAGAGTGGGCTGCATTTTGGTCAGCAGCAGTTTTGGGTGCAGATACCCCTTCCCTCCCCACTCCCCCCAGCTGGCGCAGGACCCCTGCTCTCAGTCCTTTCAACACAACACTAACACGGGCACTAATGGCAATCACACAGCACAGCTGCAGGGGAACCTGGGGAAAGAATTCAAACTTTTTTAAAGTAATTTCTTAAAACTATTTTTTCCTTGTAAGGAAAGCAGCATGCAAGTAAACTGCTGCATTATGAAATGTTACAGGTTCTTTTGTATATGGATGAAAACTAAGTTCCTACACCCTTTCCCATGATATTCCTGAACCGTTCCTGCAAATACTGTTTTATTGTAATGATTACTTGTAGCGTGGGAGTGCAATGCCATTTTTATCATTCCAAAATTAAAAAAAAAAAAACCCCACAAAGTTTTCCATTAGCCAAAAGTTTACACTAACCAAATAGCAGTCTGCCATTTGCCTGCTTACAAGTCAGTATCAGACAGTTTCTGCTGTTTGAAAGAAAGCAGCAGAGGGTTCCCCCCCGCTTCTGAGTTATAATAGAATTGTCTAGGTTGGAAGGGGCCTTTAAGATCATAGAGTCCAACCATCAACATAACACTGCCAAAACCACCACTAAACCATGTCCCTAAGCACCACATCTACCTAGAAATGTTTCCCAATATCCATCCTAAACCACCCCAGCACAACTTGAGGCCATTTCCTCTTGTCCTATTACTTGTTACTTGGGAGAAGAGACCGACCCCCACCTTGATACAACTTCCTTTCAGGTAGATGTGGAGAGCGATAAGGTCTCCCCTCAGCCTCCTTTTCCACAGGCTAAACAACCCCAGCTCCCTCAGCCACTCTTCATAAGATTTGCTCTCCAGCTTCTTTGCTCTTCTTTGGACGTGCTCCAGCACCTCTATGTCTTTCTTGTAGTGAGATTCCCGAAACTGAACACAGTACTTGAGGTGGGGCCTCACCAGCGCTGAGTACAGTGGGACAATCACGTCCCTAGCCCTGATGGCCACTCTATTCCTGATACAGGCCAGGATGCTGTTGGCCTTCTGGGCCACCTGTGCACACTGCCGGCTCATATTCAGCTGGCTGTCGACCAACATCCCCAGGTCCTTCTCTGCTGGACAGCTTTCCAGCCACTCTTCCCCAAGCCTGTAGTGCTGCATGGGGTTATGACCTAAATGCAGGACCCGGCACTTGGCCTCGTTGAATCTTTTGGTTGATGTTGAGTTGGTTTACAAAAATCGGGAAGAAAACAGGACTTCAGTAATTTCATGGTACAAGCTGATCTTAGAAATTATCACTACTTTTTGTCATTAATTTATTTGTAAAAAGAAGAAAATTATCCAGTTTAACAGATCTTTGATACTATTTACTTTACTGTACACCTCCTCCTTATAAAGGGTGCACACCATCAGAGTGAACCCAAGTTTCTGCTGCTGGGAACCCTGGTACTGGTGAACTGAACTGGTGCACTGAACTCAACAGCGAAACCAGCCAAGGCAAGTAAGGCGAACTGACTAGCTGGACCAAAAGGTTTATTTAACCCAGTAAATTTCATCAAGTAATATCTTCTGACACCAATTTGTATAATTATAAAGTAAAATAAAAAAAATTCATTCCCAATACACTGAAATGAAATAAGCCACCAAACAGGTGCTGTCTTGTCCACCTGCATGTTGGATGTTACAGACAGGGCTTTGCCACAGAAAATTTATACCCTGACTACTGCTGTTACATTTTCCATCCCTGGATACGTAGGAAACGAATGCTCCTGCCTAATTTCCCAGAGCAATTGGTTTACTCAGTGATGCCTGAAATTAGATCAACTTCGGTTTACATAACAAGTATTAATAGTTATAAAACTGTTCCACTTTGAAGCAAACAAAAAAAACCCAAAACCCTCAACAACTTACTTTAGTTGTGCAGTGCAAGTCATGTGAAAACACTCACGTAAAGAGCTGATGCAGATGCAGAAAGGCTTCCTAAGGACTCCTGGACCTGTACTCCCACCAGTCCTTCCCACCTTTGCCAGGAGCTTGCTGCGTGACAGGGCCACTCCCGTGAGCAGGAGAAAGCTGCTATTTAATAATGTTTTAAAAGAAGCAGATGACCAAATGAAGGCACGTTCCTGTAGCTCTAACTAGACTGCACAAGATGATGGGAAATCTGTTTCCAAAAATCCTGCAATCTCCAACATAAAGGGAGGACAATGGGTTGATCCGAGATGGCCCTTGGATCACATGTTGTAGAGCAACCAGCACAGCGGATGTGTCTGATCAGAACCCAGTTTTCCCAAGATTCACTCCAACACGAACCACCAGCAAAGGTTCAACCTGTGCCGGGGACCTCGGCTCCTTTCAGACTTCCACCTCCCTCTGTCACTAGTAAAGTGGCTCCTTCTGTACCCTCCTCCCTCCAAATCACTGCCGCTTCACATTTACACATCCCCAAGGTTACTGCGCTCATTCTCACCTAACCTTCAGCAATACAAAGCAGCAGTTAACAGGCTGTTAAATGACAACAGAAAACTAGTTCAGAGCACAATTTCACCTTTTAAAAGGTACATTATGAACACGGCACAATTCTACATTAAAAGAGAAGCTAGAAATTGTATTACCTGTTATGACATTAATATCCGGGTACTGACTTTCACAGAGAGTCACAGCTTTGCTGTCCCTCTCAAACGCCTCTCGGAGCTCTTTCTTCACCGCTGCTGAGCCACATAACCGATAGAGGCCTACCACCTAGGAGCAAAAACAACAGACACACGCCAGTTATTTTCCTGCGCAGGGGACTCGGGGTTGACACTGTGATTCGTCTCATCTGGGAAACGCAATAAAAAGAACTGTTTGGAAACGTATGTTAAGGAAACTCAAACAGTGCAAGCAGTTAACATCAAATGATAATGTACGTTATCAAACATTACACAACAGACACAGTTCAGACTGTTAAGTGGTAAGTGAATAATGCTCATGTTTTTCTGTAACAGTGAACATGCTGAGCAGTATTTTATTGACAGAACATGTTTTAAATTCGAATCATTTAGTGATTCCAATTTAGTGATTCTTATGCAAACTTAGGAAACAAAATACAGCATAAGCCAGACAGTAAACAAAATTTAAATTATATTTGATACCAGTAACCAAGGTTTCAAGAGAATTATGACTACTCCATCATTACATCTATAAAATGCTGTTTTAAAGATGACAAGATGATGACTTGCACGTGTTTCAAATTGTATGAAAAGTTTTATGCAAAGCAGGGGTTATTTGTCATGCTCAAGGTGACAGGAACGAAACACACAACACTCCTGGACTGGATTACTAATTCAATCATGTGCTTTCATGTGCTTAAATTTTGCATTTTATCATTATTTACTTTTCATTTTTATCCATACCATTTATACAAAGTACTCCTATGACATTAAGGAACTACATCTTAAATATTTTAATTTTTTTTTATTTTAACAAACTTCATAGGCAGGTGTACTGAGCAGTAAATAGCTAGTCAAAAACTACACTGACTCAAAAGACACAAAAACCAAAAAAGCACCCTGACTTAGACTGTACTGACTTACACCATGCAAATCTAGGTTTGCAAACAAGAGTCTTTGTCTGGACATCTATTAATTCCTGTTTAAATAAATGGAAAGTTACTCAAAGGAATCTGTACTCCCGCTTTCCCAAGACTGAGTATGGTCTAGTATGGCCTAAGACAATTTCTTTTCACTCTAAAGTTGTCTAATGCCACATCTGAAATTCAGGTGGAGATGCCATACCATGCCAGTAGTCTGCAATCTATAGGAAAGTCAAATGTCAGACAAGCAGATGGTTAGAACAAAAAGTTAACTGTATATTTTGCATTTTTGGTTCTCCCTGTGCAAATACACAAATTAGATTTCATGCTCAAAAGCACCAGGTACATTCAGACAATTGAGATCCCAATCGCTTCATTACCAGTGTTGCCTTGATTACCCAATATCATTTGCATGACTAGGTGCTAATAAGCCCAAAATAAAATGCTGCAACCATAGGACACACACACATTGGAAAAAATAAAACTTCTCTTTTCCACTGATTTACGTAATATTAGGAGAGCATTCACAAGAAGAATCACGCGGTTGTTATCAGTAGTGACTTCCAGCAAACTAATTACACAGAAATGCCATTTCTGTCTGTGTTTTATGACCGACGTTATAAATAGCAGAGTTAATCTCTTAACACCTGGACTACATGTCAGCAATTAAAAATAGTAACAGTGGTAGGTGTGATTACTACCCAATTTCACCTGAGTAAGAACAGGTGTAAAAGAAACCGAGAGCTCACATATGCTGTGGAACAGCATGCAAGAGTCCTCCCACCCGCTTCAAATTAATTGCCAAGGGGAACATCCCACCTTAGCACTGTGCATTTTTCTTCCTAACAGACGTCTTGTCTGGCATCCGTAACTGGGAGTTTGTTTCCATACCTCATTTCTCAAACCTATTTTTGTCCATTAGGTTACATCAACCAATAAACTGTATTAGGATGACAACTGATAAACTGTATTAGGATGAAGACACTGGGCACTGCTGCTTTACAGCACTCACCTCCTGCCCTAATTTTGGAAACAACCTGAAGAAAGGCAAAGAGCAGTGGCGCTGGGAAACAATTCAGCCCCTCAGTTCCTCCTCCTCTTAATGCTGTGCACAATCAAAGTCATGGCAGAGACAAGTTTTCGGCATGTTGGCTTGAGACTGCACACAGCGAGTACAATTTTGTCACAAGATCTGTCCTCATCACTTTGTGTCACTGCACACGATGCCTCGGTTTTGGGTAGGAGGGAACATTATATGTTTATTTTTGCGGGTAGATACACTATGTCCTGACAGAGTGATCTGTGTCTCAGGAATCAGGCATTTTCATGTTCTCACCTCAGCTCTGCCTTTTAAGGGTGACTGCATGGTGGGGGCTGCAGGTTCATTTCACTGTCCCTAGTCCTAAAGCACGACTGCGAGCAAGTGTCTATCTCCTTCACAAAGGGTGAGTTGGAAGCATCAATTTCACACTGTCCTGTTATTCTTCACACATCACAATGTTCACCAAACAACAGCAAAGCAAAAAAAGTGACATGTGAAGGTGTTTTTAATTCCCCTTTCCCCCCCCACTGCTCATGCTCTGCAACAATCGCTATCCCAACACAGAAACATTAACAAAACAGATTAAAATACGCACAGTACCTGACATCCTCTCTTTTCAATCTCTACAATGCATTTCTGCATCAAAAGTGGCACCATCAAGCCGGCGTTTTCCTTCTCTACGACTTTTCGAGCATCCACCCCAAACATCACAGGCTCCCGATCTGCATCAAGCCCATCAAGAGAGTTCTCCCACTGCTCCATGAGCGACAGCTTGACGTAAATAAGCCCCCTCGGTTCCAGTTTGACAGCCAGCTGATGCGTCTTTGTCACTCGGAAAAGAGTGGGAAGAGCCACTGTGCCATGACAACACACCCGATTTTTCCGCGGGGTGGGTTCCCAGCTGAACACCACCAGCTTTAAGTGCTGAGCGTTTTCAATTTCTATGTTGAATGTGTGATCCATATCTAGAAATGTTGTCCTACATGTAAGCAGGGCTGTTCTTGCTTTGTTTACTGAGTCAACCTGTATCGCGCAGAAGACATCTTTTGAGTCTATTCTTGGCGGCTTTAAGTCCTCAGCACCATAAAAGTGAATGCTCATGAGTCCAGAGATGTACTGAGAGCACTTGGGTTGATCAGAAAAGTTGTAGTGTCTGAAAGCATCGATATCTATTTCAGTTTTACCACTGTTGCTTGGAAGGCTCTCCTTTCCTTTCCCACACTTGGTTTCATGCCCATGTTTACCTGATTTTGTTATAAGTTCGGGAGAGTCGCCATCACTGAGGTAACCACCTTTGTTGTAGGACTTGGAGCTCCTTGAGCTTTTCTTTTTGTAGGTGTGTTGCGACGACACACTGCTGTCGAGATGGTAACGACTTATCACATTCCTGCTGGCAGTGGTGGTTGAGTTTCCAGAAGATGGCAAAGACACTGTATGGCTTGTATCCCGGCAGCTGCCTTTCAGCAGGGAAGGAGGGTTATCTGAACTAGTATGGCTTGAAGTTCCCTTGACACTCAGTTTCCTGCTCAGCTCTGGCAGCTTTTTCATTTTCATGGAAAGCTTCCTCACAGTCCTGGGAGATTTAATTCTATCGGGGAAAGGCCAGTTGATTGATCCGCTTTTTTTCAGAGGACTGGGACTTGGAGGAGAAACCTCTGTTGAGGGTATATCAGCCTTGTGTGCAAGTACAACTCCAGACCCTTTGGAAGAAGAGAAAGAATAATAATTTTCAAACCGCTCAGTATCTGCAGTTCGCAGCAATGAAAAAATAGATCTTGAACTAGGGGAAAACATGTTGATTTGTCATAACTTGATAAACACAATTCATTCAGACAACCATCATTCATTCATCAGTCAGATGTTCACGAGCACTCAGAAAGCTGTGCTCTGCTGACTCGGACAGCCAACTTTGGTAGTTCATAGTCAGAAGCCAGATTTGTTCTGCTTTATGGAGATGAAAGGGCCAGAAACTACATATAAACAAACGGGCTATCTCACCCGCTGCATTCAGCTCGATCCATTTGAGCTGCATCCCCTGTACAAGCAGACATGGCTGCATTCGCAGGGCACACGTGCAACAAAACCAGTCTGAAATGGGAAAACACTGGAACATGGCAAATGCACCCTTGTCTACGAAGCAGTTAGCTACTTAGCCAACACATCAGCATTGCCCACTCCTCTTAAGTCTAGAGAACAGACACCCGTCTCTAGTGAAGAATACTGCTATGCTCCTGTGCATGTCCCTCTGCTACCCAAAAGAGCCCTAAATCCCTCCTATGCAGACGCAGGCAGTGTCTATACCTCTTCTTCCATTTCTGTCAGCTCCTCCTTTCCGCTGCAGGATGAGGATCACAACAAAGATTTATTCCTTCCAAAAGCTGCATCCTGCACTGCCTCATTCCTGCCAGCAACTTTCCATCTTTCCTGGCACAACCACCCCATGGCAGGGCTTAAAGTTATACAGTTCCCAAGTGACACTGTCATGGGAAATCACCCACCCTTCAAGGTACCAAAAAAAAAAAAAATCCACCTAAAAAAAATCATAACAGCATGCTGAAGAGGGCAAGAGAAAAAAAGACTCCTTCAATTCAGCAGTAAAAGACAACCAATTAAGGAACACGATCAGACATAAGCCAGTACTGCCCAGCCAGGAACCTGCGGTTCACCTCATGCTCCAATACTCGAGGAAATCCAAACATCAAGTTATAGCTCGAGCTTTTCTCACTTTCACCAGCATGAGGCAGTAATGACTGTAGGAAAGGCAACGAATTTACATGAGTTAATGAAGCATGCAAGAGGGGAACTGAGGCCAGAATGATAGATACCAATAAAATTACATGAGTGCTTTCACTTAAGAGTCCCTTCTCTATCCCTTGAAGGCTTTTCAATAGTGGTCCTTGCCAGCAATAACCACCCCATTCACTCATCACTTTGCAAATTTTAGCAGCGTAGCCTTGCCTCTGCAGGCTCGGGTACCACGGGGCCCCCAAGGACGTTAATCCTGTGCCATTCACCCGAGCAGCTCACAGAGACTCCAACACCTATATCCATCTGTCACCCTCCCCTTGCTAGCCAGGGAAAGGGAAAGTCTATTTACAGCATATAAAAAGAAAGAAAACAGCACCGCTTTCTCAAGATACTCAGTAAATCGTACTTTACACAGGTTGCTCTTACAGGTCTCTCAAAGGCTTACTGCTTTAATTCTAAACTAACCACTTCAAGTCCATATCACCATACAGCTAGTGATTTTTACAAGTCCCCTTTTCATACAAATAATTTTTACCATTTAACTATAACTAACTTTTTATACTTCACTTAAACAGCTAAATCAGGCAATCTGGTCTTTGACCAAAGTGATTCGTTGTGTTTTTGGTGTGTCCTCCCCCCAAAAAAACCCTAAAGACTAGTTGACTAGTTCTAGTCCCAACAATATATAGGCTTTAACAACTTTTGCAGAGAGTTGCTTAAAAGAGTATCATTATAAGAGAAAGTTTCATTTATGACAAATAATGCATAGAATCTGTTTTCCAGAGCGACAGAGGAAAATTCATTTAGCCCTGCATCCCATGGAAGTAGTCCCCTTGCAGGGGAAGGGCTATTTCTAGCACGCCTGCTGTGCTTTTCTGGCAGGCAGCTAGTTAGAAATATGGTGTTTGATAAAAGCGGACAAAGCCTTCCCTTGTACTGCAAATCACAGCGCGGTCCCACTGGTGGGCTGGTCTGGAGCGCTCTGCAGCAATCAGTGCCATGCTTCAGCCCGCTAACATTAATCTTCCCTTTCTGTCAAAAGTCTCTGGCACAGGCTTGGAAAAGCAGGCCAGCAAATTAAATTTCCCCCCCAGCTCATTAAAACTGAAGAGTCAATCTAACACTCTGACTTTTATGTGTCCAACTTCTGCTGCGTTCAGCACCAAACAGTTAAAATAAAATATGCGGCTGGAAGGAACTTAACAGTCGAGTATTATGCAGGATGGTATTCCCATCAGCATTGAGCCACATGTTGTTCCACTAAAGCCAGCAATGTGCTGAGGTATGCATGCAATTTTAAAGAGTGTACATGAGACAGCTCTGAACAAGCTGCAAAAGGAGCTGTAGCACAGTCCGGTAACACTTCTCTTCCCAGCCCACCCATCTGATACAGGTTTCTCACAAGGCTGCCAGAGGAACCGAGCTGCGCCTCGTTCCTTTTCCCAAGTTACAAGGCTTTGCCGCAAACAGGCTCCTTGCTGTCCCTGTCCCCACTCGCTCTGCCACCGCACACCCTATCCCAGCAGTTAAACTTTAAAAATACCCTTACAGAAGGATGGCAGGGAGAGAAGAAACACAAGAGGCACCTGTTGCATAAACGACTACCAAAGCGGCAAAGGTATGGTCAGCTTTATGTGATGCAGCTGACTATATATATATATATATTTGTGTATATATATATATATTTTTTTTTTTTACAGTGAAAGCAATCAATCACTGGAACAACGTCCCCAGGGACATGGTAGAGTCTCCATCACTGGAGGTTCTCAAGATGTGACTGGACAAGGTGCTAGGTAATCTCATCTAGGCACCTTTTTGCACCGAAGAATGGACCAGATAATCTTCTGAACAACCTGGGCTGTTCTATGACATACTTACACAGTATGAGTAAGAAAGAAAAATAGCTTTTCAAGGACAACGCAACCGAAGTCCAAGTGACTTGACATCTTCAGTGGCTGCATCCATCAGCTATTTGTTCAGCTTGACCAGTAAAGCCACCTTTTACTTTGCTCAGCTCACAGCTGCATGAAAGGATAAAGCCTTTTCATGACCAAAGACATACAACTGGGGAGACACGAACAGCCCGGGGGAATACAGTCCTGCACGAACACAGACCCCCCCTTCTCCCAGCCCACCTGGCCAGCTGCCCACAGGGCAATCACTACTGTTCCCTTGGTGGCCCAGGGCACCGACAGACTGTACCCCTACACAACGCTGCCCCAAGGCAAGACAGGACTCAAACTATCATCAGCACTTACAACACACCCCCTGCCAGACGTAGGCAATGATTCAGCACAGCAAGAACGTTTGTCTGACCCTGCTTAACACTGTTTACATGTGCTTGGGCACATACATCACTGCCATAACGACTGCCAGCCACGCACGCCGTTTTACAGGCGTATTTCATTACATATTTATTCTACACGTAACTTTCCTCATTGCTTAAGGTAGGGTTTCTGAGTTATTTTAAAGTTCCTCAGAAAACCTGTAACTTATTTTTGGGACGATGAATTGAGGTCAGTGAGTATGTCAGAACACTATCAGTTCCTTACTGCAGCAAGCTGCTGAAGTACCACATGGCCACTCTCATAGCTAATGGAAATGCTGAGATCGACCAAACTGGTTGACAAATTGCTGGTATGCAATTTAATTTTTCCTACTATTCTCCAGACATACTTAATAAGTACACTACATCTAACACTGAAAGAATCTCTCTAAAATAATGGGGTTAGTGTTGAAGTTCTAAGCCGTTTCATTTTAAAATGAGAAAAAAAAATACAGCTTACACTGAGGGTTTATAACTTTCAAAACCGAGGTCTCTCTCCTGCCTAGATTCTTCATGCTTTTTAATATTTTTAAATCAACCCAATGCTTTATTGAGAAAATGTGTTAAAAATGAAAAAGCGGCAAATCAAAACAGAAAAGCCCAAATATGTCAAAATTGCTCTTGCAGCAAACGGCAGGTGAGTGAAAAAGGGCTACTGTTGTTCTGCACTAGATGACACAAGAAATACTGATCTGGATCCTCAACTGACAGTAACAGCACACCTCTCCTGACACCAGAGGCTGTGAATTTACTGAGGCACAGGTCCATTACACCTTCTCATCCTCAGGTAGTTCCAGACCTGTTCTGATAGAAAACTTCAGAATAGAACTGTAAATGCCATCAAGAGAAGAATTCATACTGTATCAAACTCAAGCAATTTCAATTAAGATATGAGGAAAGCATCACCTCAATCCACACCAGCAACTGGGGGAAAAAGTCCTAAAAAAAAAACCAAAACTAAAGAGAACGTTTAAAACAGGGATAGAATGGACTTGTTTCTATGTAACATTTATATGTAACATCTTAATTATAATAAATGGAAGAATCTCCTCTTTTCACCTGTAAAAAAAAAGTCTTTTATACCCTATAAAAAATTACTATTTTGACCAATGCAGTGTCTGAGTCCCATTCCACATAATGCTTCAGAGTCAAGGAATGGAGAAATTATTAAGAGGGTAAAAAAAAATTTCTAAGAACTCTGCAACGGTAGTTTGTTTTCTTCAGACACTGTGCACACTGACATTAATTAAGCTGTGACAAACCCATCGACCCAGGGATCACTTTCACAGGAGCAAAAGATATAAAATAAATTGCTTTAAATAACCCATTAATTAAAACAGCAGGTGATTACAGAGTAGCCTCACGAGGCTCATTCACACCAAGAGGTGAAGGGGCTGACTGCTGCCTGCTCTTCATCCTAGCGGTGATCCTCAGAGCATCTTCAACAGCGGTACCTCACTAGAGAGGGAAACGTGTGTGTAACAGCACTTCAGATCTCTGACCAGACTTAGAGAGTTCAGTATCTACAAACAAGCAGGAGTTTGTTGCAGGTATTTTAAACATTAATGATTCTGCGATGCACATAAGCCACAGTTGGCTCTAATCAGACGCTGGCGTCGCACCAAGACGGAAGCGTCAGCGCTGCAGCTGATGCCAAGCTCTGCACATTTGGGCTGCTCTCACAAAGATTTCCTCCCCTCACTGTGTCTTTCGTGGCACGAAAAGCAGCTTTGCCCCTATTTCCCCAGTCAGCGGATATAAACAGTTACTTGGTATAAATCAGCAACTGAAAAAGGCAACAACTATTTTAAACAAACTGCTCCTACTCCACGGCAGCCACATCCTTTTGCCTCTTCCACCAGCAGGTCTTTACACTATCATCACCCCATGGATCAAAGACATACACGAATAAGCCTTTGACCTTCAAAGCATGTGCAAAAGCTCCCCAAAATCTCACTGACAAACAGGCTTCAGCTCCACAGGAGAAGGAAAGAGCAGAGGGACCTTTCTACCACATACCAAACCTTTTTGGTATCTCAAACATTACGCAAATACTTTGCATGACTGCTTTTCTGCCTCATGAAACCCAGGCTCCTTGCACTTGAAAAAACAGTTAAATCACAAAGCATCTTCCGTCTGGAAAAAAAAAATAAAAATTAAGCAAACAGTATTTGAAATTGTGGAAGGAAATTGGTAAATAGGATCTGCTGCCCAGTACACTCTATGTATACTGCTGGAAACTCACTTGCAACATCTGAGCGTGCAAAATCTTTGCCAGCATTGGCCCCAAAAGATGTATTTGAAAACTGGGATAGCGGTCATGGTCAAAGTGGAGAAAGGGCATTGTAGTTTCAATTATGACGCCCATCAAGCTCCAGTTGGCATCTATTGGGGTGAAGTGGGAATATGGTATCAACCTTCACTTCCTACAACATTGAAAAGAAATCTGTTTATGCTGATTCCTACCAGGATTTTCCATGCAGACAGGTAACACACGTACATTTTCAGTAGCAAAAGCACAGTCCAGATCCTGGCAAACTGCAATGCAGAAGTCCTACCAGGATGTCTCTGAGATACAGACACATGCAAGATGATTCATTCCACTGATTAGGCGGAGACTATTAGTAATCCTCAAACAGTAATCCTCCCCGAAAGCAAAAATATTACAAATTCTTCAGAAGGCACTATTCAGAGTTCTACGATGTAAATCTATTGCAGGAGCTGACATTATAAAGGGGTGTTTTTCTGCCAACATTTTGCAGGTGACACACACGTCTATAAAAACATACAGTTAGAGTTCATTCCTAAACAGTTGTAAAGAAAATTTACTTTAACATTTTATATATGCAAAAAACTATACCTGCAATATGAAAAATTCAATACATAACAAAAATATTCCTATTTTCCAATCATAACCATTTTACCTGTGCAAGGAGACATCAAATTAAAACTAGCCTCCAGGGTCCTTTCCGTTTAAATTCTTCTCCCACAGACCTAAGAGCATGACCTGGCACTATGTTTCTACATTACTAACTCAGAACCAAATTACCTTCTTACTCTTACCTTTTGTGTACTTTTCATAAACAAAACACATTATTTTCCCAAGCTCTGCTATAGGGGAGCCTTATTTTTAATCAGTTCCTTTTTAGCAGCCAGCATGGCTAGAATTATTCACTAAGGAAATTACCTGACAAATCCTATTAACATAAATGGCATTTACTGTAGAAAGTAACCAGATTAACACCAGGAACTAGCAACGTAAATTAAGACTATGGGGCAAATTAGCACCTCTACAACTATGATCCATTTAGTTGATAACATTTACAGGAAGTATCTATTTTCTGCTGTGTTTGGAAAGACTCCCAATAACCAAATTCTATCCTTTATGTTTTTTCTTAATCTTGTGTCTAATAAAGACTCTCTCACAAAAAATAACAAAAAGAAAAAAATCCATGACCATTTTCTTTCTACAAAGTTGGAAATCCAAATAAGGCAGCAATGTTTTAAGTTTTAAAAGTTAAATTGATTCCATTATCCAAAGAAGAAAACAGCAAATGACAAAATGAACAACTATATGTTTTGTTGGCTTTTACAGTGCCCCACTATTTTCTGTCTATGCTTCTCAAAATCTAGTATTTTAGACTCTAACACTAACCAATATTGACATATATAAAATCATATCAAGAAAGATAAGCAGACTTCTCCCCAAAGCAGTAATTGCACATTTATCAGGAGTTACTGCTTGATGTACACAGCTCTCCGAGAATATAGACATCGATTTCATTGCAGTTGCGTAATTCAAACAAGGTCTTAACACAAATAAAGTTAAATTGGCCATGTTGCTCTTCACGCAGTAATCTTGTACGGATGAGCTGTCATTTTAAATTTGACTGAAAATAACTGTAGACACCTTAACTGGATTAGAAAGAAGAACTAAGCCACTTCTCCATAATAAAGCCAATTACTGAGCAGCAGGGATCCACTTCATCATCAATTAATCTATTCAATGTAATCACCATTCAATACATGCAAAAGGAGAGCTGCATTTAAAGTAGCTTAATTAACTCCACGCATAACAAACCAATCAGGGGAAATCCGTAACACTTTTCTCCTGGTTTCACGAGACCCTTGAAATGCACAATTTTGCTTTCAGAAATAAATGTTTCTTCAGTGCGAAAACAATTATGACTTTCTTCTTCTTACACAAAGGGATTCATTTTTATTAAAAAACAGTCACCTATACATTGAGAGACCTACCACCTAAATGGGGGTGAAACAGTTTGCAGGACACACATGTAGCTTTCCAAAACAACTATGCTTACTGACCTCTCCGAAGCCCCTAGGGCTCCAGTGATGGGCGAAAAAAAAAACCCTACCTAAGAACATGATATTTCATCTATCTTGCAAGCAAATATAATTGGACTAACTGCTTACTGCAGCTATAAAGTGAGCTATTTCTAAATAAGCACCCAATAATTTGAACATACTTTGCAACTAAAAATACACCCATATCTACGGCATTTCCACCAAAAGAACTAAATGTGAGCTCCCACAAGAGAAGACCGACTGTTTTTCCTTCCGCTGTTTACCACAGTTGCTTTGGTGCCTTTGCAAACAAGCCCCGTTCCCAGCAGCAATCTCCGCACTGGGAATCCGGGCACAGCAGCTCCTGGCACACCGGGACACGGGACCAGAAGCCCACCAGGACGGTGAGCCTGGACGGGGGCAACCCAGAGGGGGCTCCTCTGGAGGGCAATCCCCAGACGGGTCCCCTCTGCTGAGCTGGGCAGAAACACGGGCTCTTAAATGGCAGCGCAAAGAAAGCGTGAACTTTCTCCAAAGAGGGGAACCTGGAATGTCTCCTGAACTTTACACTAAGTTTCTAGCTCTCAACAGGACACCAGAGTTAAGGTCAAGATAATGTAAGACACGTCAGAAATTAAAAATAATACTTTTTTGGAAAGGTTTGTGTTGGGGGTTTTTTCCTGCTTATTTTTGTTTGGTGTGGTTTTATTTTTGTGTGGCTTTTTTTAATAGACCGGGAAAAATCTTTAATAAGATGCTGAATTCACACACTTAATGTAATTATGGAAATGAGACTATTGGACACTCAGCCAAAGATAACAAGGAACAAAGGGACTGGCTTCTGAAAGTGAAAACCACTCCTCTCCAGTCTATTAGATTAGCCCGAGACAGTCAACAAGACAGCAATTACAGAAAGCGATGTGATGAATAGCGTTTACACGGTCTTCCAAAAAGTCTTTATTAAAAAGTCCCAGGCAGCAAGTTAAAGAAACTTCCGCAGACATTAAGTAGGTTCGAGGCTGGAATCCAAGGCCGGGGTTAGACACCAGCTAACAAAGGAAACCCGGTGTGCCCTCACGCTGCCAGGCTCCAGCAGGCTCGCTTTGCAAAACCCTGGTCTTCTGCGAGGTGGGGGCCAAAGAGCAGAGAGGACATTCACACCTGGACATGCCATGAACAAACTGGCTGAGAATCTACCGCAGAGCTCTACATTTAGTAGGTATTAGCCTCACAATTTGAATCACTTTTTATGAACGTGAGATGAGTTCCCATTGAAAATTTGTTCGATATAGACAAGAGGAGGGGAAAGAAAAAAGAGAGACACCAGAACAGTTTAATATTTCTCTAAAAGAAAACAGAAGACATCACACTTTTATGTTCCTGAACCCTCTTACCTGTTGAAGGGCACTTCAAGACAGGATTGTCCTCTGCTGCTGGCACGCCGGCTGCCTTGCAGCCAAACCTCTGCCGGTGCTGCTGCGCGTGCTCCCCAGGATGCACGGCATCGGCCTGGCTCCCTTCACTGGGCTGAGCCGTCCGACCGTCCCCCATGCTCTCCGTGGAGCGCGGGGGACCCTCGTGGGAACCTGTGGCTGTCCCTAAGTCACCCCCAAGCAAGGTTTTGTACCAAACCGCCGGGGAACCCACAGCCACAGGGCTATTCACAGCAGACAGGCGGACCCTCGGCAAGTCGGGCTCATCATCTTCAGGGATCGGGTTGTACCATATTTCTCCTTCATCGTCTGCATCGTTATCCTCACCGAAGTCCAAAGCAACGCTCCTCGGCGCAGCAGGGCTGGGGGTGCTCGGCAGGGTACCGACGGGAGCGCAGCTTCGCGCAGGGTGCTCCCGTCCCACCGCTGACGCAGAAGGAGCCCACGGCACTGCGGGTTCAGGCAGCGGGATGGGAGATTTGGGTACCGGGATAACAGCCCCATGTGTTTCCTTATAGAGGTTTTCTTCTTCCGAAGGAGGAGGAGGAGGAGGAGGAGGAAGAGGTCGGTGCGTGCTCTGCTGCAGCCAGCTGCGTTTCTTAGAAACGGTAATGCTGTTCATCTGCGGCCGCTGCTCGGGGACCTCGCTGGCCTGGGGGGGCTTGGGCTCCTTCCTGCTTCTCGAAGCTATGTAAACATTTTCTATTAAATCTGTTCTCAGAAAGAAAGGCAAAAAGAGAGGGAAAGACAATTGTTTAGAATACTGTTTTGCTTTTGACTGATGAACGCGTATGCTGTTGCATGACATTCACGTTAGACCTCATCTGAAAGGACAAAAGATAAGTCGATGCGATCATAAAATTAGATTTCAGGCTGCCAAAGTAGAATGTGCACATAATTAATAAGAGTCAGGCTTGTTTGGCTGTATTTTTAACACCATGTAATTTAGATAAATGGCAGTGAGATAGCTCTGCTGAAAGGTCATGCATACTTACATAGAAATGGCTGCTTTTTTTCTGCCAAGTTCAGGTACAATTAGTTTGAAAAGTTGCTACACAGTATTTTTCCAGTTTACTTATGCCAATGAAGAAATAGCCCCTGCTTTTGGTGTAACGTACTACTTAAATGGCTACAAAAAGCCCACATAGATTCACTTCTACACTTATATATAAATAAAGGTGAGGATATCTCTTGCACAAAAACCTCCAGAAAGGACTGTCCTGATCAGCTTTATCCTATAATTAAGACAGAAGCATCCCCTGATTTGTGGGGAATAAAACAAAACACACCGTCACGAAAGGAAGGGAGGAGGGAGAAGAAACATAGAAACATTTTAAAATATCTCATTACACAACAAAAGCTTCATGCGACACCTAATCAAATTCCACCAATGGCTCCCAAAACTTGGCACAACTTCTTTAAAGCAATGGTCAAATGTTTAACTCTGCATCAAAAACACCACTCGCACTTGAGCCCCTTGTCATCACACCTCCACGCAGCGCACTCCGCAGCAGTGCCATGTCCCCTGCCATCCCGTCCGGGGAGGTGGGACCACGCGAGGAGTGAGCACCTCACCCCCGAGCAAGCACTGGCCCCTTCACTAGAGCTGGAAGGAAAGCTGCAAATACATCCCAAATAAAAAGAGGGAACGGAGGTCAGATAACCCTTACGCTCCTCTGCAGAGGAGGACAACCCAGACAGGGTTTGCTCCGCCAGTAAGACTGAATGGGGATAACCGCGTTCTCATAAAACAACTTGTTTCCATGTAAAACCCCCTGCAATGGGAAATTCTGGATGGAAGCAGCTATTTGACACTGTTTGAACATTATTCTCAGCAAAAAGTTATTTACACACCAATGACAGATGTTAAAATACAGACACCTCTCTGGAGGACTCAAAGAGCAGCTCTGTAAATCCAGGTAAGTTCACTGGAGACAGGAAAGACTGTTACTTGAACACCTTCCCTTCGACCCTCTTTTCAGGTTTGTACATTAATGACAGGAGAGATCCTTGACAAGATCCGAAACACCACCATTTCATTTGACGAAAGATTCATCATTTGGTGATATTTTTTTTTTTAAAAAGTGAGGTTTACTCGTTTAGCTAAATTGCAATATGAACACTGTTTGTGATTTGAAGAATTAACTTGGTTCAAAGAATGAACAGAATTAACGGTGCCCACTTTGAAGCCTGTGCACACCTCTGTTGAAGCGCTTTGCTGCACTGGGGCCTAAGTCGGTTAATTATCAGAATCCAAGGCAAACGTGAAAGCGGGGCTGAGGAGGCAGATCTCTGGCAAAGTTTCAGTGATTTGGCAGCAATCGTATTCCTTCCCCCACCCATAGCCTGGAAATGTAAGCGTGCCATTGTAAAGGTTCCCCTTTACACAATTTCACCACTATTTCAAGTAAGAACTAACCAAGAGGACGGGTAACTAAGCTGCAGTGGGCACAGGGCTATGCCTACACTTCCAAGAAGTCAGTTTGGATCGGGGACTTCTTGGGCGGGCATCCTCCTGCTGGTGACGACCACCTCAATGCCCTCCACTTCTGCATGGACAGCCCAGGGAGCAGTCCCTGCTCCGGTAACATGAATAGATGGAGCATCCGATAGCTGTATTTCCACAAACAAAAATATCTGTGCCTTCCTGCTTCGCCGTAGAAATGCAGACACTTCCACGCTGGTTCAGAGAGTCTACAATTCCCAAAACAGCAGGCTCCTAAGAAAGGAGTGGCTGTCAACGGGCTCTCTCAACAGGCTGAGAGAGTTGGGGTTGTTCAGCCTGGAGAAGAGAAGGCTCCGGAGAGACCTTATAGTGGCCTTCCAGTATCTGAAGGGTGCCTACAAGAAAGCTGGAGAGGGACTTCTTGCAAGGGCAGGTAGTGATAGGGTGAGGAGTAATGGCTTCAAACTAGAAGAGGGGACATTTAGATTCGATATCAGGAAAAAAAAATCCACTCTGAGGGTGGTAAGGCACTGGAACAGGTTGCCCAGAGAAGCTGTGGAGGCCCCATCCCTCGAGATGTTCAAGGCCAGGCTGGATGGGGCTTTGAGCAACCTGATCTAGTGGGAGGTGTCCCTGCCCATGGCAGAGGGGTTGGAACTAGACAATCTTCAAGGTCCCCTCCAACCTAAACCATTCTGTGATTCTATGAAATACAGTGAGCCTAAATATGCACCCAGCCACACATCTGGCATCAGCCTCTGGCTGCCTTTGGGTCCCAGCAGCAGCAAATGCGCAGAGCAAACTCAGCTTTGTTTTCAACATCCATCCGGGTATCTCAATAACAAACCATCTGCAAAAGCTTACCGCAGAAACATTAATAATCAAGTAGCTCCAGCGTACTCCAATAACCCTACTGCTTGCAGAGACACGCCGCCTACCACACGTATTCCAAACTACCCCGTCTCCAAATTAGCCAACGTGCTGCCCGCAGTCATTGATTGTAAATGTTCACTGAATCTCATCCAGACGATACACTTCCATGCAAATCTTCCAACTGCAGTTTTTGCAACGGATAGCAGTATTTGCAAGCACTGCCTCCCCTTTATTCGAACTTGGCCCTGATCCTAAAAGCCCTTATGCCTGTGTTTATTTTAGTAACAAACTGTTTCACATGCAAGTATCTGCACAACCAGTGGTTCAATATCACAGAGCAAGTTTTCAATGTTGTTAGCTGTTATAGTAACAAGTCAATTTTAAATAAATACAAAGCTTTAACATATACACAGGTCAGGCACATTCTTTTGGTTCCAGAGCAAAGTTTCATTCAGAAGAATGTCATCTACTCTCAATTAGCACCCTAATGTATTTCATATATTCTAAAAATATATATTAAGCCTCTACATATTAGGCCTCCACAAAAATACAGCACAAGACAACTGCTCCTTCCCGAAAGGCTTCAATACAGTGTTGAATAAAGAAAAAAAGTCAAGGATTTCCTTCACCTTCCACTCCATCTAAAAAAAATTTAAATAAATTACTATTTAAATGTTAAGTGTTATGGTAACAACACATGTATGCTCAGAAACCAGGTCCTCAATGTTTCAGCTCAACTGAGGTCAAAATTGATATTCAGCCTATTACGTAGGCGTATAAAATATTTCAATATGATACTGTGCACTGCTTTTCAGATAGGAATGAGGAGGGGAACGGTGTTTCCCAGTCTCGCCATATATGGATCAAAACAATTCATGGTTCTTCTGGATGTAATAGCAGCTACTTAAACACATTTTGAGCTTTCAACTGCACCGTTAAAAATAAAAAAGGCAGCAAACTAAAGCCAAAGAATAACAGTCATATGATAAGAAAATGTGTGGGGATTCAACCAAAGCAGTGGTCTAAATTCAAGAACCTCTTATTTTAATGCTGAATTTTTATCACCGAGAAGAAGAGTAATTACGGATGCGAGGATGTTACCGCTGCGGATTGATCCAAGACCTAAATTTAGATTTGCTGAAGTGCCCGATCTCTGTTCACAACAAATTTGAAGGCTACACAAGATTGGGGGGACGGGGACGGGGACGGG